GTGCCATTAAATTACACTTTCCATTTTAAATCTCCCCTGAAGTTTTGCCACATTCTGTCCTTTTTCTCAACTTTTTTCCAAACTGACCCCAATCTAGTTACTGCTGTGAACTTAGTGAACATTGCGGATTCATGTCATTGTTAAAACCAGATATTTTTCTCTACAGTGGGCACCAAAATGGCCAGCGCTTTTACCATGCTTCTAATTCTGACATTTACTTTGAAAACCTCCATATGTGGTGGGAGTTGACTTACAAACTACATGTACATTCCTACATTGCAAGAATACCCTGCTAGACATGATTACCTAATAGTTAAAACTATTTTCATGCTGAGCTGGGGTGATTAACCCCCCCCCCCTCCTCCTCCACCCCCCTCCTCCTCCACCCTCCCCTCCCTTATGTCCAGAAATGAACCCAGAATTTTTCAGAGTACTCCATGTTGACTAAATATTTTGGACACTTTCATATACTTATATTTGGTGTAATTATATGTTTTGGTGGAATTTCATTAATAGGGACACTTTGTGATGCCTTCTATAAAAGAGATGAACATTACAATCTCTTGCTGAAATAGTTTCATACAATCCATGTGCAACATTTACTAACATGCAGTGGTCAAGGAATTGATTGAATATGCTGTTAGGCTAAGCTTATTTGAACTGTAACAAAAACATGAAACTAAGTGTCCACTCTTCCTGTTCCTTTAATTTTTTTTCTACCAAAACAAGGAATTATCTGCAATAAGTCTATACTAGTTATTTGCATGGTTTACAAAGTAAAGTTTTACTACCATATCAGCTATCTTTTGTGAACAATGAAAATTGAAATGAAACAAATACATCCCATGCGCAACATTTGTTAACATGAAACAATCAAGAAATTGATTGCATATCCTGTTACTTTATTTGAACTGTAACAAAATCAAGAAACTAAGTTTCAACTCTTCTCTTTCCCTTGAGCATTTTTTCATTGAAACAATAAATTATCTGAGAAAAAATTCAGGAAAAAAGTTGGGGAAAAAGTCAGGAAAAAACATCAGGAAAAAAGTCGGGAAAAATAATAGGGAAAAAGTCAAGAAAAGAGTCAGGAAAAAAGACAGAATGCCAGAAAAACTTCAAGAGAAAATTGAAAGTGTCATTCAATGGCATATAATAGGCTACGTAGCCAAGAAATGTGACTTTGCTACACAAGTTCAAACTTTTTGTTGATAATCAGATAAATGCACAAAACAAAACACACTGATTATTGTTTAAGTATTCAGTACTCTAGTATTTGAAATATAAAACATTATTTGAAAAGGCTTTTGGTTTAAGAAAGAACTACTTTAACCCAATCATTTACAATTCATGATCTCAAAGGAGAGAAATTGTTTGAGTTTAAAAAATTCTTAGTTGTCTTTAATATTTTGACTTAAATTGGAAATATTCAAGAAATTTGGTAGCCTATGCATACATGCAGTTTCTTTCCAAGAAACCTAACCACTACTTAAGTTGGGAATGGTTCTTGTAGAATCTTATAATTGAATTCCTGGATTTAAGAAATAATCCAGTGTCTCTCAAAAAAGTATTTAAATTCAGCAGTCCAAAACATTTAACACTGAAAGAAAAGCAATTAACAATAGTTTGACTTATGGGCCATGCATGCTTGTTTTGAGTCTTTGATATTTGACCAATTGGAAATATTCAAGAAATTTGGTGGCCTATAGTTACACCTTACCAATAATACTAGAGATAGGGAAAATAAACAATGCACACTTACTAATGCACATTCTAATGCACTTTCCTTCTTGTTCATTTCCTTAAAATGCTCTGTGAAAAATGCAAGAAATGGCATTTTCAAGACCCTATATCTTAACCCTAGTTTGGAGCGCCTTCGCCACTCAACATTTTCTATTCATCCAAACGCCTTAAAAAATCTTACATGTTGCCCCTGGTTTTAGAAAAGATTTCAACTGCTCAAAAAAAAAAACAGAAAAATTAAACAATGTTATAACCAGCCTAACAATAATCTTCAATAATACTAAATCAGCGCTAAACTAAATGCTAAAAAATACTAACACTTTCACAATTCATAGGCAGTGTCAAAGTAACAGCATAATTCATAATTTCGTTCGTCTATGCATACAAGAATTTCATGCTGGGGGAAGTTTGACAGATGTGGTATATTATTACCTACCATGATAAGGCCACCATCACAATGACAATGAGATTTGTGAATATCATAATTCCCCGCGATGGATATGAAATTAGTGAAACTGGGAGCAGGGAATTCAGTGGTAATACAATGGAGGGCGGGATTTGGGAGGCAGAGGGGCACAAAATACGGGAGGCGGGAGAACGTGACTCTGGAAGTGGGACCTCACATTTATGTTATTAATGATATTGCGATCATATTACGATCATATTAAGATCAAGAACGATTTAGATTTCTGTTTTTGTCTGCACTTCATAACCAGTTTGGCTTTTACTGGCTAGATGCACAACCCCACAAGTTTACAGATCCAAGGTTACTGTGCTCAAATATAGGTTATGACAGTAACGATCCTGTTTGTTCCTTACCTGTAGTGCGGACTGATTTTCACACGTGGACTCCATTTCAAACTTTTTTACCCACATTGACGCCATTTGTCCATTCAAACACCATCAGACAAGAGAAAAAATGTGTTGAAAGGCCAGTGATAATTACGTTACTGGTTTTCCTCCAGTTTTAAGACCAGAATATTTAGGCATTTTACATCCCACCATCCATAACGTCTCATGAGTGTATGCTGCCATGATGTAATGGGTTCCAGTGTTTTTCGTCCAACCACAGGCAAACCATTCATTAGGTGGGACAGGCAGGGCAAACGCAACTAGCGGTGGCTAGTGATGGATGTTTACTGAGCCTCTAGGCGGCGAGGTAAATATCCACTGCTAAGAACCGACACCGAGGTTGTTTTCGTAGATGCTAAAACAGTGAGAAAATGTAGCACAAAATATGATTTTAAGCGTACGTCATTTATTCCTGGAACGATTAAATACAAGTATCTTCGGGAGCCAATCCCGCGCGAGTTGCTGGGAGGTGAATTGGAAAAGATGTTCGGAGTTTGAGTAGCCAACCAGAGCACACCTTCAACGCTATCCACGGTTTTAGTATAAGTGTCTACTAAAAGGAATTTTTGACGTTTGCGACCAAGAAACTTCGTATCTTTGACCAAAAAACAGAATAATGAGAAACAAAATGCTTGCGCACCCAATTGTAGCAATTTCTTCACTCTCTACACACTCTCACCCCTCCCACACGGTTTGAAATTTTCCACCCAAATGATAAGTGTCCTAGCCAGTTCATTTTCATTGTTTAAAAAGAAACATAATCACTTTTTTCCAGTTTCAAACATTTCTGTGCGATTTCAAAGCTTCCTTTCAATTGTTAACATTATTTTTGTTTTGTTTCCGGAAGAGGAAGGGGTATATGTGTTGATTGGGGTTTCTGGGAGAAAAATACTGATCCTTCTCATTTCCTCTGAACATTCCTTCTACACTACGTGTTGTCACTTACATCGTATGTACCTGTGAGTTCTATCCTCACGTTCCCCTTATTTTCCTGATGCTACCTACGCACGATCCCTTGGGGTTGGTACTGCTGCATTGGCCTTCACGTGCACAACACAACATGTTACTGAGTCGTTAAGTCATGCTGGGAAAATTGTTTTATCAAAACATATGTAAAATTCAAGTGGCCACAAAGGGCATGGGTAGAGTGGCGGGGGGGGGTTCACATCTTGACCGTAAATTTTAAAAACAATAACTTCGGTTGGAAACTAAGGAGAGATTTTTTTTTATCAAAATATGAATTCGCTGCGAGAGGTAAAACAGACTCAGGACGACGAAATCAAGTCATTTAGACAAAAATACTGAAAAATTTGTCTTGGAAATATAGAATATGCTATATAGTATTTGAGAATGTTAATATGCATTTTCAGGGCTCTTGTGGAATGTGTCAGTACAAAAATGTTATGCAATTTGATCGTAGTTGTATTTAGAGTTAAAAGTGATCGTTTGCAGTATTTTTCTCTCTTAGTAACCTGGCAACAAATGTAAGTGTTTTTCTTTACGTTCGATCGAACGATCGTTCTATCATTTCTCTGGCTTCATTTTAAAGTTTTGTGTTTGTAATTTTCTGATTTGATTTGAACAGCTTGAATAAATAAGCTGTTAACGGAGTCGCTGCCAGGGCAGAACATCGAATAGAGCACGTATGGGTTCTATTTGCTGAAAGTTTTCTTTGCGAACAGTACAAGTTGTTTTGATTTTCCCATCAGAATTGCTCCAAAAAAATCAGGATCTATGCCATAACAAAGCATTTTATTAACCATGGTTTCTACACGAAAACTACCATCATACCAGAAAAAATATTGCGAAGAGTCTCTAAATAAAAAAACAAAACAAAACAAAAAATGTATATCGCTACTGGGTCATAATATTTGCCTACACTTTACCTACACAATAGAGAGCATCATTCATTTTAGGGTCCATTTAACTTGCACAGAACCAAGTTTGTTTGAATCAAACTATTTTGACCATTTTAAAAGTCATAGTTCCAGAAGGCAAATGTCTCACACTCGCTTACCAACTCGGTTACGATTGAAAAAGCTAAAAATGCAGTATCCTTACAACACTCCTTCAAAAACCCCTTCAGTATTTGTTACGATAGTCCCACAATCGCATGAAAAGTCTTGAAGGAGCGCGAAAACAAAGAATAAGAGTGGAAAGAGGAGCTCTTGTCCACACGTAACAGCCCATGCTTTGGCAAGTTTGTAGCCGTTTATAAAAATATTCGCTCTTTACATTCACGAGAAAAAAATTTAGGTCATACCTCAAAATCGTTGGCAGTTAATTGTGCATTAAATCCTGTTTTAGAACACATATGTGGACTTTCTACGACGCAAACCTAAGTAAGTCTAAAGTCAATAAGTCATTCATTGTTCTCAAACACAAAAACATGAAAAATGTGCAATTCTTTAAAAAGCAGTCTCCACTTTCTCTAACGGAACGTCAGCTCCCTGGTTCTCGTATACAGCACCTTTATCGCGGCCATATTTTTCCAAGCCATTTTCTCCCAAGTACATGGGTGGATTGCTCATGTGGTGATCCATTTGGTAAGCTGCAAAAGGGTACAACAGCATCACAGCAAAGAAGTCCTCCACCATGTTGCCGTTGATTCCATACCTCTCTCGTATGCCCAGGCGGATTCCAGAGCCATACGCGAAAAATGCAAATAACACTGCCCAGGCAAGGTAACTGATCCCCTCGACGGCTGGTTCGAGGGCCATGCCAAGGACCCACAAGTAGAACGGAATAGCCAAGGACAACATGTATGGCACTGGACTTCCCTTGCAGTCGTTCAGCCTGTGTGCAGCACGCCCCATTGGGAACCACGGAAAAAATATGGCGATGATGGTGCTTTTGACCATCTCGAGTGTGGGGCTACTGAACACCTCTAGAAGGTCGACAGAAAATTCTGGGCCATTGGGATCCAGGGCTCCACCTTCGATTTGGACAGCGCGCCATAAGGCAATGCACATGAAACACAGCAGTATGGTATAAGGGACACCGGCTGCTATGGAAACGGTCTGCAATGCTGTTAGAGCTTTCGTACCCCCTGCGTACAGGAGGGCTGTGGCTGTAGCGCCCTCAGTAAGAGCCCAGAAGATACGCTGAATGATTGGGGGATCTGGATCACCATTTGCAGAGAGACAGTCAATAACTAGAGATCCACTGTCAGAACTCGTCACGAAATAAAGGATGATGCCAGCCAGAGAAACTATGGACAACACTGGGCCAATGTCACCATACTGTTCCATCAAATCAAACCACATCTCATCAGTTGTGCGGCAGGACAAACGGAAGAGGCCATTGTCGGATTCAGTAGACTTTTCACCCCCCAGAGCGGACGTGCAGCTGATGTTCGCGTGAAAAGCTCTTCGTTCCATCCTAATTCCAGCTCCGCCGAAGATCGTCAGCCACAAGAATGAGTACAGGATGGGCGCTGTCATGGTAGCATTGATAAACTGCTTGATCGTACGTCCTCGGGAGATTTTGGCGATAAACATTCCCACGAAAGGACTCCAGGCGATCCACCATCCCCAGTAGAAGATGGTCCAGTCGTTCATCCACGAGACAACTTCCCTCTTATCCTGGGAATTTCCCATTTGTGCGAAAGCATCCGTGTGAAAGCCCAGCTGTATTATCCACTGAAAGTAGTAGCCGGTACTCTGCACGTACAAGTTCAGGAGGTACCATGTGTCATCGTAAAAGAAGACAACAAGCATGAGGAGCATGCCGATGGAGAAGCAGAGCTCACTCAGTCGCCTGATTCCAAGCTTCAGACCAGTGATCACCGACACGGTAGCGCAAGCAGTGACACACCAAATTATTATGATCTGGTTGATAGATGACAATTCGATGTCTTTGTTGATACGATGGATGCCAGTGTTAAGTTGCATGGCACCTAAGCCCAGACTTGTACAAACACCAAACATAGTACCCACGACGGAAAGGATGTCGATGACATCGCCCATCCACCCGTATACCTTGTCTCCGATCAGTGGGTAGAAGCAGGAGCGGATGGTCATGGGGAGGCCTTGCCTGTAGCACACGAAAGCCAAAAGCAGACCGACAACCACATACACAATCCATCCATGGATTCCCCAGTGAAAGAACGTCAGGTTCATCGCATCTTGTGCCTGTTGATTGTCTGTGTACCTTGACAAAAGAAACAAATTTTTAAAAAAAACATAACAGTCAGAATTACTTTATAAATATAAAACCTGTTAATTTTAGTCTCATTTATGCCAGACACCCAACAACGGATTCTCTTTTGAGTAAACCTTGCCAATGAATAAGTTTAATAAACTGTCTACTAGCCTTAATTCTAGTCCTAATTACAGTTTGTCAGCATGTCGCTTCTTGTAGGGTTAAAGCATGGCGACTTAATTTTGAGAGTCAACTTTTGTATGGGCACCCGTCTATGACAGTCAAGTCCATGTGTCAAAGCTTACCTCTTGTAATAACGATTTCCATCCACCCCTGGGACATAATGATATATTGGCTCGGCTGAAAAAGTGAAAAAGAGGAGAACAATTAGGCGAATGAATACATAGGAACTAAAACCCTGAAACTGAAAGGGATAAGGGGAATGTACAATTTAGAAAACAGAAAAGATAAATTATTTGCATATGTTTTTGCTTACTTGTCTCATGACTTTTGGCCATGATTACAGGTTATTATTCAAAAGACTACTTATTCGATGATCTGACTTCAGGTATACAGAGAAGATTAGGAATACTATGCTTTCCGAAGACTCTAGTAAAGAATCCATGAGTGGGGTCGGTATTTTCAAATGATCATGGTCTCGTGGCATCTTAGAGGTTACTGAAGCAAAAAATTTTCTGATGATCAAAGTGCGTCTTCTGTCCTTTTTGTCTCTTTTACGTGGACGAAAAGGGACACTGTTTGTGTTCTAAGTGTATGAAACGGAAATCCATTCGGTCAAAAGTTGTACGAAGCATCCTCGATTTGTAAAGGTTACTCAGGCAAAAAAATTTCGGATGATCAAAGTTGGTCTTTTGTCCTTCTTGTCTCTTTCACGGGGACGAAAAGGGACACTGTTTTTGTTCTAAGTGTATGAAACGGAAATCCATTCGATCAAAAGTTGTACGTAATCGTCCTTGATTTGGACCTCAGAGTTTCAAAGCCCTATTTCCCCTGACTTGTATCGTAACGATCACACATGGCCTTATATGAGAGGTTCAAAAAAAAGCTGAGCGTGCATGCCTCTGCACGTCTTACAAAGCTGACTTTTAAAAAATTGGCTTTACGCTAGAATGATCATACGAAAGGCCAATATTTTTCTCCTTTCAGCTGCTGGTGGAATCAATCGAATGTGTAATGATGACAAGCTACTGAACCGTTGTGTTTACGCAGAACAAAGGATTGACTTCTTTCTCAATGTAATTAACGCACATTACCAAGCAACCAATCGAATAACAAGTTGGAAAGTAAAGCTCTCTGTCATGCTGCGGCGAAACAAAGAGGCAAGAGACCTTTTAATAGTAAAGTACTTCAAAGACCAAATGATAAAGTCTTCTTCACGAATCTTTCTAAATGGTTTGTCTGGGCAGAGATCGCAACAGTGAACGTTCACACACCAAGGAACTATCGTGCGTTTTGACGTTAAGTATTCAATCCTCGAATCTACATGAAAATCACAACGTCATTCGCGTGGGCTAGAGGTATTCTAGATATTTCTCTCACCAGCAGGTAGCTACCACTCAAAGAAATACCAGGATGCAATTGATATTGTTTTCCAGTTGTTTCAACAAGTGTAACTACGTAAAAATGATCAAAGGAAATTATCGTTGAAATTCTTCCTCTTGTTACCTACCGACACTACAGACACTTCAGATATTACGACGTATAATGAAAATCACACGCACTTACGTGTGATGAACACTTGAATCTTTAACAACGGAGAGGAATAAGCAAAGGAAACAATGAAGATAAAACTCACAGCTTGTGGATGCAAACATTATTCAGTCTTCCAAAGTCAAAAGATTTAATAATTTACTCTTTAAAGGCAAATCACGATCACTACGACAAACTGTCCGTTGATTGCCTCCTGAGTCGAAACCCAAACAGCTACAGGTCACAAATTTCAGTCCATTGCTCTCACAGCTAACCCTTCAGCCCGTTTTTTTCCAAAACAATGTAATTTACAATCATACCGCTAAAAACTTCTGAAAGAATTTTGTTCTGAAAAAGTACTTAAGTGCTGGTACGAAAGAAAATACAAATGACGTAGGGTGCAAATAGATCTAACCTACGTTACTTCCACTATTATATTACTTTTTTCGGCAGTTTTTTCGTGGATGTGCTTTCTTGCTATAATTAGCTGAGACAGTTGTATGTAGCATCACACATTTTTCGCACAACGTAAGGCCTCGAAAGAAAAACCAACTCCTCAACCATGATCTGCGGAGTTCAAATGTTCACTGACATACAGTATCTAAGTTGTTTGCCATTAGTCTTATAATACAATTGGTAATGCAACCCTTGGTTTCCAAAGGTTTACCGATCATCGAAAAAGAGCTAAGACATTGAAAAAAAAACAACATCAACAACAACAATAAGAGCAAAAGCAAAAAATGGTTGAGTGAGCCAAAAGTTTCGTTTTTTTGTGTTTAAAACTATGTCTTGGGATAATTCGCGACTGAAAAATCTAAAAAATTGTAAAGGCATCGGAAAACATCCGTGTCAGAAAATACTTATCTTAAAGTTTTTACACTTTTAGCTCCAAGTGAGCCACTGAAGCGTTCAAACTATCCAGAAACGTCGTTAGGTGGAAGGCTTTACGCAGTGATATTCCTCGATTATGCTGCAAGCGTTTTATTTGCATTGTGTGAAACGTAAAATATTGATGTTTATTTCTGACTTACCAACTCCAAAGAAGAATAAGCCAATTCCGATACCAGCCGCAAACAACATCGTAAAGTAGGATGCGTCACTGAACTCGGGCTCTTCATCATCTCTTCCCAGCTTCATGTTGGCGAACTTAGAGAAGTACAGCATTATGATGATCACAGCCCAAATGTCCTGAGTTCCGATGTACATCCAAGTGAATTTCTCCGTGATCCAGATCTTCCATCTTCCCATCTCTAAGTTCGCCGCTTCTGACTCGACAATGCACCAAATAACGAAGCCCCATATTATAAAGGACGACAAAATACTCACTACTGGGTTGAACCTCAAGAAGATTCCAAGGTTTGTGTTGCCGATTTTGGTCCAAGCCCAATTAACCCTGATCCAGCGACATTTTTTCAAATGTTCTTCAGATACCGCGGGATCCATGTTTGCAAAGAGTTTACCAGCAAACTGCGTGCCTCTTTCGCTGTCAGGAATGTTCTATAAGGCTTTTGCATCTAAAATTATATTAGCCACTAACTTCGTCACAAAGAACTCGTTGAAGCGTAAAAACAACAACATTTACATGAGAATAATATCCCGGTAATTGCCTCCGTAAGAAGTAATTTCCCACAAGAGCAAGTTGTTGATTGTGCACTTTTTTGTCGATCCAGAAACAATGATTCATCTAGTAAAACCACTTCGAGGTAACAGGAGTCAGTCTATTTTTTTCCCTCTTCACCGTGACACTGCAGTTATAGATCACTCCTTTGTTAACTTGTAACATAGTTTTCGTGAATGCTGCTTCTCGTTCGCACACGTTTTATTTTTTCAAAGTATTTGCATTTGTGAGGATTGCAATGGAAACATTTGTTTTGATGACGGCAGGCTTTACACTCGTGAAAAGTTAGAAATACGGTTAATTGTTAAGCCCATCATCAAAATCCCGCGGAAGAAAATTAACTACGTTGACGTATCTGATCAATCGAGCCTGATATTTGCTCAATCGAAAACTACCACACGTAAAAACGGGATTAAAGGGAAAAAAGACGTTTTAGCTCCATTTCCATCACAAAGTACCCCTTACTTGAACAAGTTTTAGAATATACCTAATTTTTTATTTCATGCTAATCATTGTAGAGTTAACTTTAAACAAATGCCATAGTCTGCGGCTTATAGGATTTGTTTTTGGATGCTTCATGTGCATTGAAGGAAAACGCTTTATGGTCCTTATGATATATGAATATTTGAACAACCTGCTTTGGTTACCTAAAACAAATGTCCACTTCATAAACGAAAAATGTTTCACAGGAAGCTAATTAAATGTGCTAACTCAAGTATTTTTTTAGCAATTGCGGAATTACTTAGATGATCAGGAGCTTACTTCCCCTGTAACGATCGAACCAAAAACATTCAGAGTGCCACAAATAATAATAAAAAACAGATCACGTATGAATTGTATATGAATTGCTTTTGTATTACTAATAACCCAACTAGCATCATAGCAAATTTCACAGAGGAAAAAAGAGGTATTTATAGTTCCATCATAGTCTTGAGCTAATCTGGCACATGGGGAGTAAGGAATTTAACTTGAATGATGCCAAAACTTAAGAAGCCACGACTAAACAAAAATCAGACAAAACAATTGCATCGAGAAAAACAAATGAGTCTAAGAACCTACTGTAACCCTTTTGAAATACTCAGTCAAGCAGACAATCATTACCCTTTACACTCAGCAGCGTTCAAGTATTAGCCTGCCTTGGACAGTTTTTCTCCTGTTTATTGACGGATACGTATACTATAGTAGCTAGTATGGCGAGTTCGCAACAAGTTTTTTAGCCGCGTAGCTCAATTTTTTGACTGAGCGTTATTGATTCTCATTCAAAAACTACTGCAGATTTTTCAGTTAGGCTTAATAGCGAATAACACATGCAGGAGCTCATTCACCGAGTAATGAGCTCCTGACACATGCATGAAAAGAACTGAAAAATAAAAACATTACGAAAATACAGTTAATCCTTACTCCTGGGTTTTCCGACACGCAAACAGATTAGCTGCATGTCCTGTAACGACAGTCAGTCTATGTGCGGTGTTCTGTGGTGAAAGCGTCAGTTTGCACCGATGGTAAACACTTTATACACTCCGTAAAATAAATCATTACACACAAATGCACTGACAAAAAATGGATTTACGACAACAAAAGCAAAAGAAGTGACGGAGAAAAAATATTAAAACATAGTGAGGCATAAAACATTTTCTTCATACACGGATGACATGAAAACGCAATTGGCTTTGGTTTTGTATGAGATAAGTTCTGGGAAGTTTAGAGCAAGTTTGTGGACTAATCAGCGAGTGAAGAAGAGCTAAACCAATGTCGGTGAATTGATTTCAACTTGCTAAAAGTCAACTTAATCATCACCGCCATGCGACGATGGGATCAATAACCTTCAAAATCACTGAACTCACAGACGGAGGTTGATCGATATACACCGTAAAAGGAAATTCTATATAAAATCATATTTTTTGTAATGAAATCGACTTCAGTGTCTGCAAAAATCAAATCATACTAATGGTGATAAATGAATGGAAGATAGGCAGATGGAAACGCAATGCATTTTGGATGAGTTTCACTTTTGAAAGGTCGCGAGGCGATTACAAGAATGCCGGGCTTCAAAGAGCGCGGTTTATTTTACATCTTCTAAATATTTGAGGTGGCAATAAACCAACGTCTACCCATGATTTGCGAAGAATGCCTCCCATATCCTTCATGAATATTGATAGAAAGACTAGAATTATGTATCACGCACGCGAAGAATTCAGATTATTTCCGATAACTATCTACGTAACTACGGTCACGAGGCAGAGATCAGCGTATAAATTCTCATCTTAGCACTGACTAAGCCAAACGAATTTCAGTAGACACAGCGGTTAAGTACATCGCTGTCGATTGAGTAATTATACTCCAGTTTCCATAACTATCAATATGTTACCGCGATGGAATCTGGCGTTAAAATCTCCACATACCTTGTGTATCACCATAATGACTTAGACCTAGAACTGTTAACATCAAATTTATTGTCAACAGTTGACACGTACTCTTTAAAATGGAAGGCCAAGCATGATAAGAGCTAAAATTATCCTTACCATTTGATACACTTAAAAACTGAGATGTTAGCCAAAGCTACGAAAAATATCAGCCCAAGTATATGTTTTCCAGACTAGGAAATATTGTCGCCATTTGAGAAATAAGCCTTAAACTCCCATGAGTGACCAAGACATACTTTCTCCTTAGAAATTCAAAACAGTATCAGGCAGCGAAGTGATGATGAGAACTGAAAAATATATTTGTAAATTAGAGAATTATTAGTTGATCCAATAGCAAATTCTCAGAGCTAACTTAAAAAGAATTTTATCAGAAACAGTTGGGAGAATTACAAATAAAGTTGAAAGCTTAAAATAGCACGGTCAGTGCAAAAAATTGCTGAAATACTTAGCCAGCTCTTCAAAAATAGGAATACTAAGTGAAGTTCAAAGAGCATCAAAGATTTTAAAAATAACATTGAAATAAATAATTAACGCGTGGTTACCAAACAAAATAATTACACAAACACAAGTGACCTGCACAAGAGAGACTAAATTTTCGTGATGTTCATATAATTGGTTATCATTTCCATTACTCTCGCATTTTCCTTTTTTTTATAATTTTGTTTTGTAATTCTTACCCTCTATCCTAACAACAAATTAACTGGCGCAGCCATCCCCTTTGAAGGAACTTCATATTAATTGCTCCAAGCACACTTGTGACGTCAGGTGAAACTGTAATTGCTTCAGTTTGCCATTAAATAATTCACGCCTATTTGTAAACTGAACTACTGAACTGTTCCTGAAAGGGTCTCATTTCAAGTCTTTTATTGCAAGAGTAAAGATTCTATCCATTCGTCTTAGCAGGTACAATCGATACACGGGTTTCAAGTTTCTGTGTAGGTTTTTCATCTTTGCCGTGTCTCTGCCGTAACGTGGATACAACTACAGCTCATAAATTTCACCCCGCACGGAACAATGTGAGAACGAATGGCCGCATTTGCGAAAGACGAAATCTAATAGAACTGCATAATACAGAGAGCGGACGAAAAAGTAACAAAAAGACTATTTTGTAATCGGCTAAAAATTATTAAAATCATCAAAATAAATGAAAAGCGTTTAATTTATGATTTAATGAATCCACCGAAATGCAAATCGAGGGAAAAAAATGAAAGTTTATTTTTCATATGCCATCTGCTCGGATTATCTGTGTATGTTTTTGGTCACAATTTGCATTTTTCATCGTTTTGTCAACGAACGTCCCGAAACACGATGTGAGAAAAACTGCAGCTTTGTGTGGACACAAGTTTCTTTATTGTTCGCATAAAAATACTGAGCCGCGGAAATCCGACTACAATAGTGTAAGAACTAGACTTATTCGAAAGGAAACGAAGTCCTCTAGAAAAGTAAATATACGTTAATTTTACGTGCGTTAATACACGCTATAAATTTTTTTTACGGGAAGCAACTCAACTGCGAAAAGCGCAGAGATGCTTCAACTTTTCAACTCATTTCGATAATCTTCCGCCTTTAGGGCCACTAGGAAGTATATGGGTTTAAAACATCCTCACAATAAACAAACTAAAGAGATAGTTTGTAAATTGAGGCTGAAACGAGCAAAAAGTTGAATGCCCGCTCTACCTGTTACTTCTTGCAAGGCAAAGTTCTCCAAAACGCAGTGCGAAATTTCTCCTTTGTAAAAGCATACAATAAGGGATTCAAGACACAGTTGAAGTAGCCAAAAGCTAAAAACACGAACTCTAAACGAAGCAAGTGATTAGAGGGCCTCATAAAATACATGGAGAATGTTAATGTGGTGTAGGGCAACCATAATCCACACACAGAACAGACGACTGCTCCAGTCATTTTGGCGATTTTCCATTCTTTTTGACGCACCATTGCCTCATTCCGCCTCTGTGAAAACGACGCAGGCACAATAAACGACGTTCGAATCATCATGGCTTGTATGTGCACTCTGGAGAGGGCGGCCTTCGATATTCGCAAGTAGGCGGGAAGCAGAATTGTACATGACAGTAAAAAGGATGGCAGATAATACAGGCGAAAAAAACAGGGTTCTTTTGATTCGCTAAACATCAAAATACATGCAGAAGACCATGATGTTTTGGCCTTCCATCGCCATTCAAGGAAAGGTGCTATAAGACTAACAGTACTCAAACACCACACCAAAATAACAGCGCGCCTGGCTTTGAGGTGGGTAAGTCTCAACACAAACGGGTTCGTTACTGACTTGTAACGGTCATAACAAATAAGCAATAGAGTTATGAACGACGCATTTCTCAGAGCAGATGTTACAGCCTCATGCCAACAACAAAACAGTGTGGAATGTGAAAATCCTGAAATGCGAGCGATGGTGAACGGAACACAAACACAGCAGATTATAAAGTCAATAAGAGCAAGATTTGCGATGAACTTCGTTGCTACACTCCGAACACTTCTCTTGTTCCAGTAGATCAGCAAAACAGTGCAGCTAGCACAAATACCAAGAACAATTTCCAACCCCAGCACAATTATAATAGAGATCTTAAATCCTGGGGAAAGGCCCAGCTTTTTATACTCTGAGGTAATGTTACTGGACATAAGGCGGCGTCTGCGCGACAAACCCGTGGCAAACCGTTAAAGCACCATTTACGGGTTGTGATGCCCGCGTTTTCTCCCTTTTCTATCACCTCGCTTGGCCTGTTCCTCCTACGTGACTGTTATCTACCAAACTCTGCACGAATGATTTGTCTTTGAGAGCGATATTTTCACCTGCGAAAACAAATTGCGAAATGAGCTTTGTTTATGATACGTCGATTTTGTCAATGATCGCACATACGATTGGCTGAATTATCAAACACGTCTGACATATTACTACAGCAGTGCCATTATCTTCTCTTCAGGCTCTCCCGAATTCTCGTTGGAAAAATAGTTAGTCTGCTTGCTCTGGGACTTAACAATGACTAAGTAGACGACACATACCACAGACTTGTAAAACATCCTCATCTGTTTTTTCTTAAATTGGTAGAGGAAATCTCCAAGCCCACACACTGCATGTTTCCGACGCAGAACTAGAGTGCGCTAATATCTAAACACAATTTGCATTTACGGCGTTGCAAATGATTTTCTGCCTTCTTTTGTCGCAAACACCTGCTTAGATCTTAAAAAGGATAATCGCCGAGAACCCTTTCCAAAATGCACTTCTTGATTCCTCACTCTCGAGGAATAAAGTATCAAAAAGGGTATTTATTGCGCAGCGAAGTGATATTATATTCCATCAAAGGACCTTCAATACACTAGATTCTTAGAAATATCATCTACAATGACAAGAAGGGAGGCAAAATCAACCAGGCTGTGCGCGTTATAATTACTTAGAATTCTTGTCACAGTATATTGACAAAATGGATATATAATTGGCGAAGAGAGAGTGTGCGGGAAGTAATTCCTAATCAAGTACAAATCGATGCCGATCCCCAGTTTAATTAATAATGAACTTATCACGAACTACAACATTCTACCAAAATAAATATCCGTCGGAAAATGCGATCTGCGAGGTCGATAAAGTATAAATTGATCGTGGAGATTCTGGGGTAGATGAATACGCTAATCGTCTAACGGTAACAATAGAGCGATCTTCTTAGAGCCTCCAACAATGCAAAGGAAAGTAATACCCATTATGTACATTTGCGACCACGTGCAGAGCCAAAGGTCTTTTGCATGTCTTTTGTTAAGTAAGATACACATTTGGTACGCGTACAGTTCAAGATTACATTTTATGAGCGACCTTGACCGACTGTTATTGTTTTGTTTGCTTGATTACAAATTATGAACCGGAAAAAAAAGAGTCGCAACGAAACTACAAGAGCATCGTTTAAAAAATTGCGCTAACTAGTGAACGTCACGCAAATTATTTGAATGCAGGTTGAAACTCCTTAATATATTTCTTATTTTTTTCACAAAAATAAACAAAAGAAAGGACAAATCTTCTCTGTAAATCACGAAAAAAGTAACTAAAACCACAAATTTTACTATGAGAGAGACGCTTCGCGAGGGCTTTTTTCTTTCTTTCGGCAACAACGTCAAAGATACCACGGATGAGTACTGAGAAGTTTCTATAATATAATGTTAAATTATTATAGGTAATCACATGATTTCGAGTGCAATTTAGAATAAATAAGCACGAGTAAATTTTTTTCAAAGACTAACAAAATTGTACCGGCCCGTAGGGCGAGTGCAATTTGTGGTCTTTGAAAAAAATTAACAAGTGCTTATTTATTCCAAATTGCACAAGAAAATCATGTGATTACATATTAATAATGTGCATGAAAAAATACGAGATAGCTTATCGTAATTTAAATGCAGAGGCAAAGCGCGCGAAAATAATTGATTAAACCCTGCGAGTAACTTTGTGCGTACGATCAAAACAATAAGACATGATGATATGTTCACATCTTTAAGGCGCAAAAAAGTTCAAAGTCCGGCTAAACAGTTCAAGGAATTGTTCAGTCTGTTCCCGAATCACTTTCGATGAAATGGAATCGTCCTTTCGAGGTTTAACCATGTTTGTTTTTTAATTTTGGCGTAGAATCACTCGAGTAAAGTGTTAAGCTGAGTCGGTTCGAAATTTTCGATTTCCTTGGCAATTCCCTTCTCTAAACACCACTTTTTCCAAATCAAAAAGTAGTGCTTTTTACAGTGTTTTCGTGGTTAGAGCTGTTTTTCAGCCGCTGTATTGTTGTTGCGGTGGCGTAAAAAACCTACTTGATACTCCGGCCATTGTTTCGCTCACAAATTTTCAGCGTATCCAAACGTTGTGACATCCAAGGCTCGCACTTGATTGTTTATCTGTGAGTTTCTTTGATTATTGGCCAATCAGAATGTCTGGTTTGTTACTTCTTTGCACTGAATTAACCTTCTTCTGCACTGAATTACCTGAAAACTGTATTTATCTTAACCATTCAATCAGAACTGAGTAATTTTTTCAAATGAATGAACAATGTCAAGCGTGCGTCCATCCAATTCGGGATGCACGCGAATGGTTGGGAGAGCACGAAGGTTGCGTAAGAGATGCCCGAGGTACAGCCGAGAGTATCTATGGCTACTTAATTGCCTCCCAACTATCCGCATGTATCCCGAATTAGATGGACGCACGGTAAACATTGTCCACTTTTCTGACAAAGCGAGACATTTTTCACGCTGAAAGTCCCATTTACTTTAAATTGCAGTGACGTCAGCCTAAACCATTTATATAAACCATCCCCTTCTTTTTCATAAAATAGTAGCCAATCAGAGCGCGCGTTGGAATGTTGCCATGCTCTAATCACTAATGTATTTCTAGAAAAAAAATATCAAGACAAAACAGCTATATCGACAACGTAAATATATAACAAATTTAAGCTAAAAATAGGAACCTTCAAAACTTCAAGTTCCTGGGGAGTTGACTGCTGTGCTCTAAGTTTAGCGCCCCAATGTTTCGGCCGACTGATTTTTCCCAGGTGGTTATTTTTAGACCTTAACTGATATGCATCCACAAATGGCTTTTGCGTTCTAGTGCAATGTTTGCGATATCGCATAACATATATGAATTTGCAGCTTCTCCCCTTTTGGATGGACAAGGAATATAACGATCAGAATATTGATTTTAAACAAGGTAGAAAGGTAACGAGCTGAGTGAGGCAAAATGCAAAGAAGCTTGTGTAAAGTTCGCTTTTGAGAACAATATCATTACAAATGTAACGGCCCTATGGTTTTAAATTAACACCTGTCAAAATGGTAAAGCTATCAAGGAATTATTTGAACCGCAAATCTGTTCCAGAAAGACTCGAAGTATTCAAGTTCGCACAATAAAGCCGGTTCACAATAAAGATAACAATCACAATAAAGATAACAATCACACCGTACCGTTGCCGCATGTCACCCAATAATAAACATAAATTATTCATAACTGTCCAATTTTCATAGGAACATTAGGAAATGGCTTCTCGTTATAAAGAAGTTTTGAATATTTTTGCAGACTTGCAACGATTACCACCAGGCACGGAAAAAGGTAAAAAACTTAAAGGAAGTCTCATAATGTAAAACTCCAACTGATAATTAAGTCAAATAAATGGTAACAGTTACAAAAGTGGGACTGTACGTCATAGTTAAAAGTAATTTTTTTTAAATAGCAAAAATAGTATTGATGATTAGGATTATAATAACAGTAGTTATAATAATGATAATAATAATAATAATAATAATAACAATAGCTAACATAATATAATAATAATGAGAAAAAGGGTGAAAGATTCAACGATATTGATAATAGTATTGATAATAATGATTAGGGTTAAATTAACAGTAGTTATAATAATGATAATAATAACAATAATAATGATGATGATGATAATAGTTAAAGTAATAATAATAATAATAATAATAAGAAGAAGAAGGGTGAAAGATTGAACGGAGCCTTTCAAATAAGGCAGCCGTAAAACATCAGACCATATCCAGAATCATCGACACCTTGTTGAGTGAATTACACGAGTTATTATTCTCTGGAAAAAACGACCGTTAGGCTCGTCTTGTTTGGTCGTGAGACAAAATGTAGGATTACAGGCCACGAAGTCGCGATTAAAAACGTTGTGCAACAGAATAAAAAGTTTACTCGTATGATACAGATTTCTTTGACCCAGGCTCCTGAGAGATGTTGACACCTTCCTTTCCGCGACAACTTGACGAGTAATTTCACATATGTGCCCTATGCCGCTAAACAGGGCGCTTTTATCTCTGCTGATCAAAGCTTTATGCATGACTCATGCAAAATAGGAACCTCGAAAACAGCCAGACTCACCAACGATTACTCCGTTGAAGGTCAGCTGATACTGCATCAAGTCAAATGGTGAAAACAGTCTCGGGTTTTGTATCCCTACGAGAGCTCTTATTTTATCTTCGTTCTTCGTTGGCTATAAATGCAGCATCATTTAGAACGGAAGAAAATTTCAACGACAGGAACTTTAACAGAGAGAGAGTTAAGTATTTCAATTGTATATGTTAGCTAGAAAGGTCCGCACAATGAAAAGGAAAATCGAATTCCGAAGCTTGTCTAAAAAACAACACGAAAAACAACAGCGACAACATTTAGTAAAAAAAAATGTACCAACCGGATTACTTATTAGACACTTAGACATACTTAAACAGGTACATTGACTATGACCTCAGGCTTAAATGTTTATTTCGTTTTGTTAGATCATTAAAAGTCTATTTAATTCTATACAAATGAGAAAGAGCCTCTCATAGAAAAATAGAAACTACTGATAAAAACTATTTTAAGAATATTGTTTGTTGAGTCATTTATATACATTCACTTCCTGACCTCAAATGGATCATCACCAATTAAAATCGCACAACAACTCTAGAAAAAGCCTCTCCATCATGAGAACCTACTTTTCAAGTTCCTTAGAATTCTTGTCCAACAATCTCTGTCAGTGATGGAGTTATATGTAATAACAGCGCTCTAGAATAATAATACACGCTGATTCTACATGAATACGTTTAAATAACTTGATTCTAAATGAAATATCCCAAAGCGAACACAGTCATTTGGCGAAAAAAAAAACTTCTTCTACACTTAAAAATATTTTAAAATTCTAATAACTTTGCTTAAATGAATAAAAATCCCAACACGAATTTTGCTCACGTTGTAACTCCTTAAATGACGTATTCAATTACATTAACACAAAATGCAAGCATAAATACTTTAAGAATTTCAATAGTTGAAACATTGAAGTCTTACAAATTCTATTAAATCTTTCGAAAACCATTCTCACAGAACCATTGATAAAAATTTCCATATTCATTCTTAAAAGCAACTCTCAATAGCAGTATTCAAAGTCAATTTCATACAAAAATAGAAGTTTGCCTTGTTCTAAGCCCTGACAAAACTTACGGATCCTAAATGTTATTGCAATCAGAGAGCATGCGTTGCTACGAGTGACCGCTGCCTCTTTGAACCTTGACTGCGCCCTCCATTCCTAACCGCGCGAGTGCCATCTCACTCCTCAATCTCATTACCTCCCAGTATATCTCCGTTACTAATGAATAAATAATCAAAAACAAACAGTTAGACAGTTAAAGAAAGTCGCAACAACGATAAAAGAATATGCAGTTTTGAATGATATCATATTTTCGCATTTTCTCGTTTTGAGACAAACTGCAAACATAACCTGTTCTTATGATGAAAGTTTCACATATTAGAAATTTTCGCAATATACCCAAGAAGGGATACATTTGACCCCCAACGGTCCGGATTTATTGGCAATGCTGCGGGTAAATCTAAGTCTGCTATAAGGAATTTTTTTCACTTTAAAGGAAGGCAATGATCTAACATTTCAGTGGCACTTGATTATATGCATCTCGTTTTATTTTTTTTTTTCTTTCATCACTGAAGTTTCTCCTCTTCCATATAACAAACACTTGCCATTTTATTGTTTTTCCCCTATGATTTGCTGTCTTGGTTAATGTTGCTGTTGTCATTTCGTTGTCTATTTCTTTCAAACGCAGAGGCAAGCCAACCAAAAGAGGTACTTAGAGGTATTTCCCATTTGCTCTGAAAGCTACAGCTATTAGGTAAACTATATTCACACCTACCGTCTGCCTTCACAAGTCCTTGCTGGATGTAACGCACATAAGTGTAAAAATCGCACACCGCTACAATCTAACACGAGAAGAATATAAGTTAGGAGACGTAAATGGTCTTGAATCAGCAAGCGGCTGGTAAAGTATTGAAGCCGTTCAAGGCTATGATAAACGCTTTTAAATTATCAATGAGGGCCCGCGATCAAGCTCACTTTCCTAAGGACGTCGCCAAAAGTTAGGTGTTACCACATATGCCACTTAAGGCTGGTGGAGATGAAAGAGAAAAGAACCACAGAACACACTTGGACAGTTAAAAAGAACTCAAAATATAGAGAACACAAACTTCAGATTCCTTTAAGTCCATGACTGCAGACTTGGATAAACATGTGAAACATTTAGACCACTCTTAGCCTCATTCCAGTGAGCCTACATACAATTTACACGCACTGTAATTTGTTGTTTTCAGTTTCCCCGTGAAAATTTATACCTTCACTAAAACTGCTTTTGCATTCACACGATTACCACTCACCCTGACTCTACTGTTGCGACTGAGGTTATACCATTCACCTTTTTCTGATAACTTCACACGGTGAAGACAAAATCGAGACGTTCCTGTGAGCGCACACTTCCTACAGAACAAAGAAAAGGTGGAGTAGATTTGAGGAAAAGTCTAGAGTAAGTCATTTGAGATATATAAAGAAAGGAGGTAAGTTTCTCACGAAACTATGGTGCTGCGTCGGTAGGAGAATATAACAAGATAATTTGGTTTTATCAACTGTGCTGATAATGTAAATTGGCCACCGTTAAGAGTTCCTATGCCCTTCGTCATTCGTTCTGATGCTATCAGAAGATAATCCAAAAAAACCAAGTTTATTTATCAGCTATAGAGTAAGATGAAAGTAATATACCTTCACGTTGTATTAACCCTTTACACCCTTACATAAATATCAGAAGTCATATTCTCCAAACCGTTCTCTATACATTTCCTAGGTTGCTAACAAGGAGAATTTGTTGAATACAGTTAGGAACTTCTTTCTTTAGTAGTTGATCATTTCCTTTATTCTTGTGACCACGATATTTGATGTGGGGTGATATTGTAGTGAGAAATTACATGCTAGTCACGCTTAGGGGTTTAAGGGTTAAGCCACACAATAATTGAGTAAAATTGATCTCATACAAAGGTTAGCATTAGAAATGATGTGTTCCAACATTGTCCTGAATTCCGGGTGCACAATAAAATATTGAAATATTTGTACAAAAAAGGACAAAGGAAAGGACACAAAACATGGACTTAAAATGACACACTGCAATCACACATACCTGAACACTGGTTTGCCACTAAATGTCTCCATCATTAAAGTGTTGTTTTCAATTGCACTATGTACAGCTAATGCGAGCTAAAACACAGAAAGAATAAAATGTGATGTGGTCACAATTTCTGCCATGCACTGACAACAGGTTACTAACCCAAGAAACACACCCTACACAACCTGTTTATATTGATGGAGCTGTGATTCTTCAAAGAGGACACAGCAGGGATTAAGAAGGTAAAAGGGAGGGTAGGGATGGCATGAAGGGGGGGGGGGGGGGGGGGGGTGGGTTGTGTGTGTGACAGGCACCACTTTCCCTTCCCATGCTGCCATAATCATCACAAGTACAAAAAGCCAAAAGCTAATGCAGAGAAATTTAATTTTCCCATTTGCTAATTACTTAGAAGTTTACAATGTATACTTTACCTCAGTAATGACCACATACCTCCTTATTAGGAAAGTCTAAACATGGCCCAACATCTTCTTTATATATTCTGGCTAAAAATGGCTGATCATGAGAAACAGAACGTTCATCCATCCATTGTAGAAATTCTCGGAAAAGGATCACATCCACCTAAAGATAATTTACATGTTTGATTGAATATTCAAGAGCTTCAAATAGAAGTACAGCCAGGTTGAGAATAATTTTCAAAATAGAATAGCTGTAGGTTGAACAAAAACAATCAATAGTTGTCTTAGCACTTTAATTTGGTCCCAAGGCTAAATAAGGAGAGTAATCAGGGTACAAGTAGGTTTTGAAATATTTCAATCCACAGGGCAGCAACACTAGGACACTGGGAACCCTACTTTGAGAAGAGTCCTTACTAATGAATATGGGGTAAAATTTCCATGATAATTAGCACAATATTTTTTGACTGCAATTACTTCAATTTTCCCCAATACACCAAAACTGTACTTAACCCTTTAACTCCCATGAGTGACCAAGAGAGAATTTCTCCTCACAATATCAGTACAATATCAAGCAGACAAGTGATGAGAATGAAGAAAAATATCAATTAGGGGATTATAAGTTGATCCAATACCAAATTCTCCAAACTAACATCATAAGAACTGTATGGCAGACAGTAAGGAGAATTACTAATGAGATCTTGGGAGTTAAAGGGTTAAAACTACAATGCAAAAATAAGAGAATAAACAAAAAATGTTGTACCAACCTCCGATTCATCTGAAGGGGAATTATTTCCATTTTGTGGCCCACGCAAACATGTTCCATCTAACCTCATGGTCACTGCAGCATCACAATCATATGAGTTACAATCTGGACATGGGCTTAGGTGCTCACTGCTGTGTCGTCGCCAGCCCATTCCTCTAGAGTGACTTTGTGATGATGTGGAGGTTAACACTAACTGTTTAAGAGCAGACACTTCTGCTTGAAGAACTTCAACCTATAAATAACAGCATGGGATGAAGTTTGTTTCATTTAAAAATCTCATTGCTGTTTCCATACTCACTAATGAAATCTGAAAAATATAACTTAGTGACAGATTTTGACAACAAAGTTACATCCTTGTTCCAGGTCTGACTGTATTATGATTCCTACAGGTGGTTAAACTTGCACAATTTAGCAGTTGAAGCTGAGTGCATAGGAGTATCTTCTGTAATGATCTAGAATATTTCAAATCAAGCCTTGCCATGCCTAATCATGTAAAAACTTATTTATAAATGGAATACCGAGGATCAACAAAATACAAATAGTTTTCCACCAACCTTGTTATTTGCTTCCTTGAATCTCTTTTCTGCTGCAGCCCTTTTAACATTTGCAGCACGAACCATGGCATGAGCCTCCTGTTAGATTAATAAAGAAATAATGCAATAAATCACTTAAAAGACATTGTTCATTCAAATATAATGACAAATTTAGAACTAGCAATTTGACTTGAATTCCCAATAAAAATGAGTGGCACTTAAGTTATCTTCAATCTACATGAACATATACAGTTGTATATTCAGAACAAACCTGAAACAGACTTGCTGTCAGTTCTTCTAACTCTGACTCCAATTGATTTCTGACTCTTGATAGTTTTTCACATTCTTCATCTTTAAGCTTAAGCTCCTTTATTGAGACAACATCAGAGTTATATCATTACACTTAAACAAATGAAACAGTTGCAAGTGTACAGGTTTTGGTGCCCAAGCACTCTAACATAACTGGAACTGATAGACAAAATGGATCAAAATAAGTTCTTATTTACATTGCAACCTTTAACATAATTAACAAGTAACTTCCCCCTATAATTTCCATACATTAATCAGCAAACAAGTTATGAGAATACTCAAACTTATCAGCTAGAGGTTATCTTGATCTAAATCCAACTTCTTGTGCCTAATTCATAAGGAAATGTATAGCAGCTAGAGGGGAGGATTAACAATCAGATCTTGGGAGTTACAGGTGAAGGCTTAACCACAGTCTTTCAAATCTTATAATATCTCGATCCTTTCAATTGCGTAGGTGAAAGGTAAATTCTAAGAACGGAAGAGAATTCTTTCCTATGGCCAGTCTTGTAAACTCAGCAGTACACTTTGCATCCAAAAAATTGACTCTATTAATATCTTATGAAGTCGATAAATGTCATGATTATCATTGCTTATTTTCAGGACTGAGTTAAGAGAATTCACACAATGATCACTCTTCAGACTCCAAGGATTATCTCCCCAGAGTACTACATTTAAAAGCCCTCACCTCTTGAGCTTTCTTAAGCTCCTCTTGAAGTCGTTCAAAAGCCTGTGCCTTCACCTCTTCACGACTTGGTGATGTTGGTGCACGATCCCTGAAGGTAAAGTCTTCACTGTTGAAACTTTCATTCAGTGTACTAAAGACAAACAAACAAGCCTCAGGTAAGATAAAAAAAGTAATCACTGTCTTAGAAAATAAATTATGTTGAAACTGGTTCATTGTCAATAGTTTAAACTCAGAGCTTAAAAAATAAACTCATATTGGAAATCTTGGCTGGTAAGGATTATTGTTGCAGAAATCAGAGAATATTACGGTTTCATTCTCATTCCCAGCTGATACTTTCACATCCAGAATAGTTTTGTCTTCTCCCAAGATATCTGTTACAAAATAGTACAGGGTACACTGTAATTCCCCTCAAGGCTAACATGAAGCCAGAATAAAATTTTTGTGTCCTAAAAATGATCTGTTAAAGAAACAGTTCTTAAGATATCACAAGGGATAAAAATGTTTTCACCAGTGAACAAAGGATCAATCTTTTCACTCATTTCCACAAGTGCTGTACACTTTACTACACTGTATTTGCTCATGTTCAAACAGGTTAGTGGTGACCCAGATTCAAGAAGTTGAGGAATCTGCATATTAGGTGTTACAATTTTGGTCAATATAAAGCACGACTTAGATTTATAAAGAGAAACATGTGGTTCCTTGTAGCTTCAATATATCTGGTTGACATTTTTCTTTCTTCTCATTATCTCATTAAAAAGACGTGAAGAGAGAGGCCTCTTGAAAACAACACTAAATGTCATACTGAGAAATTTATCACCCTCCTAACAAATGCAAGTCAGAGCTCTAGGGTCTTCCACCATCTAGTAATCAATTCAGGATTAGACACAATACTGTACACCAAATGTAGTAAAAAAGATACTTTTGGAATGTTTAGAAATGTATTCAGCCTATTGGATGACTCTCAGATGCGCCCAGACAAAGACAAAACCAATTAAGCATGTGTAACAATTACAACAATGTGATCTGAAAACTATTAAAACAGACAATTTTTACCTTCAAAATGAAAACACACTTATGAAGCAAAAAATTTATTTTGTCCATAACAAAGAATCCCAGAAACACCTGGAACGACTAGAATGATCAAAATGAACGGCTTAACTTCTTAAAGAGAAATACAAACATTTCCGCATGTTGTGCTCTTGCCTGTCTTAAGCATCACACCATAACACAGCACATAAAGCTTAGCACTGCTCAGCTAAAAACTCGAATTTTCAAAGGCTACAAACTATCTCTACAAAATCCTTTCTCAACTCCTTACTTATTCCCCTCACCTTCCATCGACAACCATCTGACCCTCAGAATCACTACCATTCGAAGTACCAACTGGGGATGGCGAACGAGATCTTTCTCCGTTTGTAAACGAAGCCCTCGATCGCTCCCTTGCTCTATTGTATTGCAACTGTGAAGCATTGCTGCATGTCCTTTGCCTTATAGCCGTACCAAATATATCGGGTTCACTGGAGGTTCGTTGGAATATCGCTTCTGGCGATAAATACTTTGAATCAGAGAGGACCTCAGTCATCTAGAAGTCGCCGAAGGCACGCACTACAACTAAGGTAAATTAAAACAACAAAAGTCGTCTCACTTCTGTCAACAACACTGTGGCGTGTATTAATCCGAAATGTTGTTCATGGTATATTTATAGAGGTCGATATTTTTGCATAAAACCGCAACAGTCCACGGCAAATGATAAAATTTAAAAATAATTTATGACCAAAAAGCCGGCGTCTTACTCCTTATCTTGGCAAAGTTGTTGCGTCGACGTATTTCGAAACCGCAGTGGTTGAACGAGTCCAGATGATTACATCAGATTTGATTTGCATTCAAAACTCGAAACACCAACGCTTGCCAATAAAGCACACTTGAAGCAATACAAATTAAACGACTTTACAATGTGCCTCTCTGTACTTGATACGAATTCGTGACATCCGATCTTTCCCGAACCTGCCGGACGCTGTAAACAATATTGAGTTCCCAAGGTGTATTATCCAGTACAATTAGTCTTCCAAATCTCTTATGTAAATAAAAAAGACCAGCTGCTGAGTCAAATGGCAGCTTAAGCCGTAAAACTAAGTGCACTTCGAACAAAACCCTAAACAACACGACATAAATATACGTATCATGACTAGAGCAATCTTGATAATACCCAGTCCTCGCGCTTATTGATAAAAGAAATAAACTCAGTAGGGGAGAGAACGTAGGATTGTTTCTCTAAATCCACTCCTTTTCAGCAGATCCAAAAGGGCTGGCAAACGAGGATCGATAGCAATCGATAAAAAAGGACGTCATGTAATGAAATAAATGAGCAATCCATAATCACAGAACGAACAACAAAAATCGTACGTGTGATTATCAACCAGTTTCGGTCGCAGAATAAGGCTTCGACCCCTCTTTTATTCCCTGTGCTGTATAACTAAAAGAGTAACAAGATCTGAGGTTGAGAAGACTGCAAGTATACCTTTTCCACTCGTAAAAACGAGAACAGACGGCGGGCTTAATACTCAGGTCACGGGTGGAGGGTCGAAGGTCACGAGTCATTAGTCAAGAGACATGAGTCACAAGTATCAGAAGAAAGCATTCCGGTAAATCAAATTTCTAACCTCATAGTTTTAACCTAGAACATACGGATTTACCGCGATTAGGCCGTGTATACTAGTGTGGACCCCAAATCAAACTTTATTTAATGAGTAAACCTTAAAAACCCCATGCCATCTCTACGGAGAAAGAAATGGCTGCCCTCCTCTGAAAATAAGTAAATCGGCACTAATTTCGTTTCTCGCCAGAAAAGTAAGAAACATTCGATAAAAGGCTGCAAATATTCTGAATATCAAACTCATCTGTGTTTCATGACAGCATACCAGATCGCGATTGAGTCATGCTCTAATGAGGACTTTATCTCTTCTTCACGAAATGTGTGCAAAGAAAGGAAGCGATCGCAGAGGCCGAACGGGCAGCTAAGGAAAAGAAGGGAACTCTCACAAATAAGATCAACTTAAACTATAGTTTAAGAATATGATTCCGATATGACTGTACATGTTTTTCAAGCTCTAACTAGTGTCCTTTGACTTTCAGTACAACAAGCAGTATTCCGCTACTTCCTCATACTTGCATCCCTCCATACAACACTCTTCATGGTAGTTCGTAGGTTGACTAGTTTCCACCGAATGAAGGTCTCTCCTTGCTAATTTCTTGAGGAAGTGCTTGGCCTCTTTCTCCGATTTCACAAAATCTGTGAATCATTGAAAAAGGTCTAATCAGTTAAGCGATCAATCAATCAGGCAATTCATATTGATGGCGGATAGATCGACCGAATAGCTTAGCAAGCAAAACAGAACAAAGAGCCTAACATGCAGTCACTTAAGTGCCGTATTTATTCGATCAAACGGTTGCGGCGTTTATTGAAAATTTAGATTTACCGAAGCGGCTTTTATTCAAAGGCGGCGATTATTTGAGGAAGGCGTATTATTCAAGATCATTTTTTTAAACATCGACAACAATTACGGAATAACATTCGAAAATATTATGTAAGACATAAACTTGTTTTTAGTGCTATCGTCCGATTTCCTAATATTTCATTTTCTTATCATCGTTGAGTAAAAATTGAGTGCGGTGATTATTTGCTTTTTGATACGCATGCGCTTTTAAGTTGTACCTTGCAGCACCCCACCACCCCCGTGTGACTATTGGTAAAACCCTGGGCAGGTACATTGGCCAGGGCCAAGCAAAAACGATGAATTCGATCAGGCGTAAATCGATTGATAAACTATGAACTGTGCTACACCAGCCAGCACAACGGTTGTAGAGAAACCAATCACAGAGAAGCACCGTGTTTAATGAGGAGACTGGTTACCATTCAACTCCAATGTATACAGTCGAAACGATTTCACATCAAAATTGATTACGAAACATTCGATGACAAGTACCACAGAAAGAACTACTGACCATGAAACTCTCGTCTGACATAATACAAACCTCTCTTCTCAATGCCTCGCCTGAAAGCACGATTCAAACACTGCGAGTCCAAAATCGCCTCAAATTCTGATTGACTCCAGCAAAATTTGAAGTCATACCGTTTGGCTGAAATCGCTTGTAAATAAAGGCAAACTGCTACAAGTACAAGAAGTTTGATACTGCAAGACATGGTGCTAAGAACGGGAGAGAAAATTACACGGGTTAATATCAGAACAAACCATGTCCTCCCCCGGCAAACTCAAGAGTAATTTGAAATAAAAAATCATTGCAAATAATGACAGCGTGCTCAAAACAAAATATATCATTAAAAACCCGAAATAATTAGAATTTCTTGATTCAATTCTTAAGGTATATTTTTTCCATGGATATAATACTAGGCTATTTCTTCCTGGTAGTTCTGCTGCAACATAGATCATTGGGACAGAGTTGTCTGAGGAGAAAATATGGGAAAGCTGGTCCTTTCCTTACCCCCCACCTATGCTCTGCTCATTCTCGTTACATAAATAATAATTCCAGTTGATCCAGGGGCTCCTGCTGATCTAACCTTTCCGCGCAAAGTATTTTTGGGCAATAAAGAAGTCTATGTGGCGTTGCTCTCTCTAAAATTGTCTGTTTGCTTAGCTTGCCATATTGCAATATCAATCTTACAAGGAACTGATCCTTTCATAGTATAGAAGGACGGGCTTCAATTTGGTCAAGCTATTCTTGTGAGAAGTAAACATTGGAATAGTATAATAAGCTGGCCAAATATTCACAGTTTATCTATAAAAGTACCACGAAAGTTGAAGAAAATACATTAACTTTTAATTACTGATTATAATCTCAACGCCGAATGCACATGCATCTAGTGGTTAGCCAGATTAAAAAAAAATGGTTTTTTTTTTCAGTATGAGTCCAAACGTATTCAACTCTTGTTGAAATCTCAGTGGACACCCTTCAAAGGCCCCGTGGTACGGATGTTGAAACAGGTGTTCTTCGGAGGTTTTACCGTTTGACGTCTGAAGTTATAACATGATCGATACCCACTGTTCAGAACAGAAGTAGAAGATGTTAGGCCGACGTATATGTGCGCGGCTATAATCAACAACATCTCACATGAACATTGAAAATCTTCCATTACATGATTCAAAAGAAAACAAAAGTTGTGTATTTTTTCTTACCCGAGTTAAGCGTGCATTCAATCCTGCATGTATTTAACTAATGGCCTTAAAGCCAACAATGCCGGCCACTGTAAGCTTCACAGGTCTACATTAAAATCGTTTCCCGTCTTGTTTTCGTAACCGATTGGATAGTAACATATGAGGTCAATTGAAAATCACGGTTTTAGTAAGTTTTTAGTTTTCATACCTTTACTTTTTAGCGTCCCTCGGTCCATCTAAATATTTTCACCAAATTTGAGACGATTTTTATTCAAAACCGCTTTAAGTTTTCCGATGGCGCCAAAATATCCTTTAATGCGAGACTAATGGATTGGGTAAACGAACAAGAACATTTATCTGATCAACAGATAGATGCTCTTTAATCTACCGATGAAATGTCATCCTTACAATCACTATCTTTCGATTTCCAAGGGATCTTTCGCTTTCGTCCCTCTTATAATTAAAAGTGTAGACAGAATTTTTTATTAACGACCGTGTTCGGTCATGCAAAGTGAACGACACTATCTCGCCTTTTGAAAAACAAAGGTACACGCTTTTGAGAAGTATTAAACATGGATCCAAGTTAAGTGCCTTGTCTTTTGTTTCCAAACAATCACGTTTATAGACTGGTTTACGGTTCGTTGGTTAAATTTTCCCAGGGATTTGTTATTTTTACATTGTATTTTTTTACCAAACTTTCATGACAGAGATCTTAAAATGATTTTAAAAATTTGTGGCGTTTGTCGGACTGTCTTGGATTTTTCTTTCAACAGAACGATAACTTGACCCAGTAGGTGTCATTGTAACAAACATGGAGTGAACGTTGTTAAAAAAAATCATTCAATATGCCCTTCGATTTTAACGAACCATTCAAAGATCCATTCAAATTTGTATCAAACGAGACCGAAAAAAACCTTTCGAAATCTTAATGTTGATCCTTGTTATTTAACGCACACATGGTAAAGGTGTAAAAAATAAATGAAATTACGTGCATTTTGGAGATGAAGAAGTCATAGATCAGATCGAAACTTCCTTAAGAGCGAGATGAATTACAAAGCAAAGTATACTAACGAGATAATGTACTCAGTAAATCATAAATTTCTTGCCATCTGGACAACTCAAGAGCGATCTTAAGCAACTTATGATAGAAGTACCTACCTACCTTTTACCAGCACAGCGCAAATAGAGCACTAAGGGATGACTTTTCACCGTGATTGTCGCCTAAGTTATCGTAAAGATAAATATAATTAAATTTACCAGTATTATGCCTGAAGGCTTGGTTCCGAATTCCTTAAATTGCTTGAACAAAGCCTACGAAGAGTAGTCACCATGGAGACAAAGACCACCAGAATCAAATGTGGAAACGATCAATTAAATCTAGGGATTGTTTTTATAGGACACTGGGCTATCTTTTGTCAACAGATACATTTTTATTTCCTATGAAACAATTATGAATTTACGTTTACATGGCGTGGTTCCGTCGTTGCGTTCGCGTTAGAATTATGATGGACTTTTTTTTGTCCGTTCTGGAAGGTTCTTGACGGGATGTTTATCAACGATTCTTTGATAGCTAAATTTAGCAGGGTTTATTAAATTAATTCACCGAAAAAAGACATACATAAACAGCGTTACTAATGACCTGGCGTGATATTTGATATCTCTTTAATAAAGCGTCTTTCAAATATGACTGGACTATGTTTTATTTCTAATTATTTTGAAAAAAAATCGTCGATTTATTTGTGACAAAGAAGCTCCTAACGTCCGGTTCCTTTTTCAGCGAGGAGTTTCCGTTGAATAAAATTTCCATTTTTTTTGTTCTAGATGTAATAAATGAATAGAAATGCGTGTAAACATTAAAACCATTTCGTCAAGAATTCTTTAAAAGAATAAAGCGATATCTATTCCAGAAGCAAAAGGTTTTTTCAGTTTTGGGATTTATCCAAATTGAAAATTTCTTAGCTGGAAAAAATTGAGCTTCTTTTTAATGCCACGTGCTGTTTTAATCAAGCAATAAAGCTGGGTCAATGTAGGTCATTCATTAAGGGGCAGTTTTTTTAATTGCAATAATGAATCGAAGTAATGAGGCCGGTAGAAATCCTCAATTTCCGAGGTAAAACTATTAATAGTATTGGCACCGCCAAAAGATTGGGTAATGTTTTCCAAAATTCATACTTCTTCGTCTAAAATACTGAAAAAAAATTGATTGAGCTAAGAAAGAACTATAGTTCATTAGATGAAAATTTCAGCCTGATTTTATTAGATCATCGTAGTCAACCCACATCCATACAAAGTTAGCCATTCTTGTTCCTTTGTGCTTTAACAATTTCAATTATCTTGAACATGACCCATATATCGCCAAAACAAATTGCTATGTCCCTTCATCATCACTACACCTTTTGTTGAGTTTCTATGTTGTTCACAGAATATTTGTCACGCCATTTGTCACAGCCAGACAATAAAACCTCCATTTCTCCCTTAAGTATGATCAAGTTGCAATGTTAAAAATTAGGTATACATAAGACACACATTTTTTTTCTCATCTTTTATGAAGTGGAATTCACCATTAAAAGGAACGTGAAGGAAATTTTAAAAAGTTCCCTCCCAGTCTCTACTCCGTTTTACCAGCAAGGTTGTGAGAAATGAGGAGTCTCTGTTTACCATGACGCACAGAGAACTGTGAGCAATGTCGGCCCAAGTGGTTGCGCAAGAGCGCGACCGAAATATTCTGGCTAGCGCCAATACATGTTCCTGTTATTAGTGAGGCGATATATAGTGTTGTGGAAAAATAAAGTCAGAACAATGGACTTTAATCAGAATACGGAGAGAACGGTATCTTGGTTGTTTTTCAAATGTTTATCTTCAGACCTACAATAGTCTCCGACGAAATCCTAGGAAAAAACTTTTAAGAAAAATTCCTTAAATTCTATTCAGATGCTGCACAGTGTTCTAGAATTTCCTCTGCTCGGCAACCACTTTCATTACAACATTCTTCCATAAACAATCCGTAATTTGTAACGTAAGTAATACGTTTTTGTAGAAATCGTCTTGCTTCCTCGGGAGATTGCAGAATATTTTCACCTATGGGGAAACAAAATTATTACTCAACAAAAGCATTTCAACATTGTGAAAATATATCAGGTAAGTAGGATGAAAAAAAAGAGATCATCGTCTGCGGGGGCAGACGAACCCAAGAGGGAAGGATTGCAAGGACTATAATTTGCATCTAAATTTTATCAAAATGATTACATTTTTACGCAACTCACATAGAAATTAAAGACAAACTTGCCTGACTTCCTTATCGCTCGTTTTATGAGGTTCACGCAGTTTTTAGAAAGAAGCCTGTCTATCTCTGAAGTCGAGTAACACAGTTTATAATGAGCTTCATTTCCATCGTCTAGTTTGGCATTTGAAGCGATGACAAATGGCATCTCAGCACAAAGCAAGAAAATTATCAATATCAGCAAGAAAACGGTTGTTGTGAGACAAGGAAACCTCCTGAAAGACGAAACAAACCGAGACAGACTGTTAATTTAGGCTAACGAAAAATGTTTAAAATTTCTCACTAAGTAGCTCGCGGGAAAGGCGTCATTGTTTCGCGTTTTTTAGGTCCGCTGCAGCAGCGCCAGGAATGAGTCATTATCTAGCGCTCCTAAACTGGAGTGTCTCTCGCCCTCGCGCTTTCCTCGCAAATTCCTGAAACTCGCCTCTCCCCGACTGAAAAATGCAGAGTCATCATCAAGTGCTCTGGTTCGGTTTATCGAGGATGTTCGTGTTCCAGTGTTCGTGACGAGACAAATAATTTTCTTTTTTATTCGACGACTGATTATGAAATTTAATCGTCTCTCATTTCCAATTCAAAAGAATGAAGTAGCACAATTCGGAAGAGGCGTCGCGTAGAAACAGCCGGTGACGTCATTACGTGTGGTGCGCGTTCTAAATTGAATGGACAACAGGAACGGCCGGCTACCTGTAATGTGTTAATAACAATTATCCAAAGGCTTTTTTTCATTTGTCATTATTGCCTCGAATCCTTCTTCATAATGAGCCAGAAAAAAAATTGGTTGGAAAATATAAGCCTTAGCCTCACACGGTACTCCTATACAATAATCAATGTTCTCCTTCGGTCAATTTTTTAACTCGCTAATTCTGCGGGAGAAAAAACAAAGCCTTTTTTTTCTTTCATGATAGTGAACGCTCGATGAGAAATGACTGAAAAACTTTAATAAGTTCAAGAGCCAAAATAACTGGAAATTGAAAGCCTCGTTTACAATGTATATTACAGTTAGACAGTGTTCCGGGAAATTTTAGCCAGTGAATGAAATTGTGAAAGGTAAAAGTTAGTGTGATGCCATGACGTTACTGGTTCTCATCTCATCGTAAAATGAAATCCAAAACGACAACTGTGAGGCGTAATGTTAATTAAATAAAGCCCAAAATAAAAACGTATACAACTTACATGATCGTCAGTCCTTGAAAAGATGCCGATCACTTCAACACTGCCTTCAATGACAAGGATCAACGAAGAACATAAAATTACTGGACCGTTGTTTGGCAGTTGTGGTCTTAATACAAACGCCATCGAGCTTCATAACTGACAACCTTTATTGTTCGATTGTATCTGATAACAAAACTTATTGTCCACGTATTTCATGATTAGATGTTATCGTGAGCGGTGTTTACAGCTGTTTATCACACGTGGGAGAGATTCTGTCTCCGCCAAAAGATTATTTCGAGCCATTAGGAATTATATTAAAAAAATTCACACTAAATAAAGCATATCTGTTGAAGCTAATAGGATGATTAAGTGCATTATTTGATAAATGATTTACCTGAAGTAAGTTCCAGAAGCTGATACGCTTCTTAATTTACTTTATGAATAATTCAGGCAAAAGCAGAACTAAAAAAAGTCTTAAATTTTATGACCAAAATCTGATAAAGGAGTGACTATCATTCTACTTTTCAAACTGGTGGAGTATTTTCATTGTAAAAGAAATATGTATATATATATAATTCCATTCCACGATGCTTTTATTTCAATAGATTTTAAATGTCTTTGGTAGCCAGAAGATAAAATGAGACAGTTTTCTGAATGTGATGCAAGACTCCCTAAAAAATTGATGATCATGAGTCAGTGTTCCCGAATGTTATTTTTTTTCTGAAGTGATCGATATTTATATACATGGAGGGAAATCTTGATATTCTAAATTTAGGATTATATGTTGATTTTGTGGGTTCTTGTCAATTAAAAATAAACAGATCGATAAGGCAGTCTTTTAAAACTGTAAAAATATATCGTCGATTCGTTATTTTTATACCATAATTTTCTAGTTAATTTTTGGCGTAGTATGATATCGAAGAGAACATATCATCGATTTTTTAACGTCGTATGCTTACTTGCAAAACTTTGGAGTGGCATAACCTCTTTGAAAACGCTCACCTCGCTCGTGACTCAATTCTGGAAGAGTTCTATATCTTACTCCACAAACCTTTACTTCCTTCCAATGATAATGTTTTTTTCACATTCATGCTTCAAGTAAAAACCTTTATAGGGGCTTTTTTTTACATGTTTATTTTTCCTTCACTTCCATGCTGTGCTTTAAAACGCTTTAAAAGCGCTGACTTAATATAAAAAAAGGTTTGGACCCCAATCGATCCGTGTGGTTTTCTCGTTAAATTGCCGGCAAACAAAATAATATATCTTTTCTTAATTCATTCTATTAGCGTCACATGCCTCCACTAAAGGAAGTTTCTGTTCAGAATCAATCTTTCAAAGCAAGAAATTTAAAATGTTTTCAATAAAAGGACGTCATCACTCGACCAAAATTGGAACCAAACTGATAAACACCCACACACAGGTTTATTACACAATTTCAGCAAATACAAATGTGCCAATTTAAACACAAAAAAAACATTTTCGTTAACTTCCGCTCGATGTCGAGAAAATGGTTTCATGATATCCCCTAAAGTTCAGAACTTTCTCGCTCCAGTTCCAACCGAAACAGCGATGTTTGTAAACCATCTTTATAAACAGTTTCTCTCGCTGGGGGCTCTATTATAATTTTGATGATTATTACGACTTTCAAGCATACATAAATTCTATGCAAACACACAGCATTCTTCAATTTTTTGCTTTAGGACACTTTTGGAACGGTAAATTTACACTTCTGAGAGGCCTTTAAGTTATTGTACATTCCGGCGAAAAGAAAGCCGAGCTCTTAATCATCCTTTGTCAAAACGTAGAGAAAAAGAAGATAAAAATTGAAATGATTTTTCATTCGAGCAGGTTTTTATTTAAAGGCATGATTTTTTTTATGTTGATGTTTAAATTTAAAACCAATGAATCCACTTATCCTTTCAATTACTCTATGCTTTGTTGGTGAAACAAATGATGTTACACTTTTAGGCCTTATCCATCGGTTAGTAAAAACACACTTCCTTTATTTGAGAACGTTTTGTGAATTAGTCTCTTTAAATTAGACCATCAATTCACGTTTAAAAGTGAGGCATTGAGTTTTTTAAAAGCTTTATGTCACTCTGATGGTTTTACAGAAGGATCATTCTTTGTAACTTTGGAAAGGATCATCCTCCAACATTACCGGAAAAAAAAGAAAACAGATGCTCCACATAGCAATTATCTATCAAAACTAATCTAAAAAGCGTCTTTACAGCGAATGACCAACTGTGCAATTTATTAGTTAAGGCTTCCTGTTATTACTGAAAGTCCTTAAACCGAATCAACCGGACGATGATAGAAATTGTTGGTTTTCATTATGATAAACAATAGCAAATCAAAAGACAATTGAATGTGTTCAAAGAAGCAAGAGGAAGGATCTTCGGGATAATCGGAAATATCAGTAATGGAAGCAGAGACATCAGTCTATACTATATCTAAATTTGAATTCATTTTACGGTTTTGTGTATTATGTGGTAATCAAACATGCATCTGATTTGGATCATTTTTTACTGATCGGTTATAGTCTGTCTTACTCTTTTACACATAAGAAAAGCAATACGACGTTTTAAATTTGTGCCAATACGCCTATATTTCTCAATCAGCGTTTCACGAACTTCTCCCTCGGGAATTTTTCGCGTGTTATGCTTTTCTTGGCTACACGATCAATGCTTGACAAAAGGCACAGTGAAGTTGATCACGTGTGGCGGAAAAACAATCATGTGGTGCAGCGGTTTCCCTAGAAGAAACTTTTGCCTACGATCTCAATGTATTTCCATTGCTGTACTGGTGGTAGAGGTAGCGTGAATAGATAGAACTGAGCCAGTTTTCTGTAAGTTCCAATCAATGGTTAGGAGCGAAAATTCAGGGTGAAGATGTTTACATCAGTAATACATCCATGATTTTTTTTTTGTTGGGCGCAACTGTGCGTTACGTGCAAATGGACTTCGACTAACATTTTTCAGACAGGAAAAGCGAGCTGAGGGTGTATACGTAGTTAGCCCAAAGAAATGTAGTTTTGTATGGCAGTATTCCCATCGATTTAATAAAATGTCACATTTCTACGATAAGGGATTGTTGTCAAAACCTCAAATGTTAATATCATCTTAAGAGTAGGAAAATCAAATCGAACTAAACCTTACTCAAGCTCCAATTAACATGATTAACAAAAGTGATAATTGTCATGCAATACAAAGCTAATTGTGACGTCATGCGCGCACTTCCTCCTAAGCCTGTGTTTTAGGAAAGCGTCGAACATGGCAGAGAGACTACGGCAAAAAATCGCGGAATTAAAAGTTCGTTTGGATCAGGCCGAAGCCAGGAGTGAGTGTTTTAAGGAGAGCTTACATGAAGTTGACAAACGAATCGACTGCGCCGAAGCTACAGCAGCAGCGTTACGGCAGCAAGCCACATTGACTGAGGTTGAGATAAAGAGGATATCGTCTCGTTTGGAGAATATCGAAGGACAGTTGTGGTCAACTGGCGAGACTTTGAAAAGGAACGAACGGGCAATGGACAATCTAGCCACTGAGGAAGTTCAAATGAACGCAAAACAGAACACACTGCACGAAAAATTGAAAACTGTAAAAGACTCAGTGACCATCAACGAATCCAAGTTGGGCGAAGCCTCTCGTCGGATCAAAGTGGTTGAACTGCAGAAGAAGCTCGCAGAGAAACGTTGTCAGCGTTTGTCAGAGCTAGAAGGTCAGCTTCACGCCAGATTATCAGAAGTCAACAAAACCGTGGAGGAGTTGCAGTCGAGTCCACGACAGGGGATGAGTGAAGAAGAAGAACAGGCCCTCAACGAAAAAATCGAAGATCTTAAAAACAGCTACATAGAGTCTGAGGCTAAAGCTGAATTGGCGCAAAGAAAAATAGCTGCGCTAAGCTACAAACGCAACGAACTGCAGAACGAACTTCAGGAAATCACTGAGAAAAAACAGTGGGTGAAAGACGAATTAAACAGGGTGTATAATGACATTGGTCTATAACCACATAGAAACTAAGCATGTTACATACTGGTTTTCCTGCACATTTAACCTGTTGTCAAATTGTAATGATCGTGGTATGTTAAATCAATTATTGACAAAATGTCATCCGTCAGAGGTTTGCTAAGCTGAGACTACTGTCACGCATTTTAACGTAACTCGTGGATGGTCAGTGAAGTCACTTTCGCGCTATAAGGACACAAGACCGTAAGAAATATAGTCCACATACAATAAAAAAACACTTCAATCCAAAAGAATTGTTTTTGTCATTGATTTTTTTCCATTTATTTTCCTTTTCTAAGACGTAGTTTATTAACCGTTTAACTCCCAAGAGCTAACTGTTAATGTTTCTCTCTAGCTGCTACACATTTCCTTGGAATTAATTACGAGGATTTGGTGTTAGATCGAGGTAACTTCTACCTGATAAGTTTGAGTATTCTTATTAACCTATTTGTTGGATAACGTATGGATATTAAAATGAAAAGTTACATCTTAATCACTTCTCAGAGTTTAAGGGTTAAAGAAATAACCTACTATGACATACAGGAGTGATACAGGAGCAAGATATTCACAGCTACGTCCAAAACCTCAGTGATTTTCCTAAAAAGGTAATACGTGCCGTGAGTGGAGCTTCTCGTCTTCTTGCATGGGACCATTTCCGTTGATTTGTGGATCTTCTGATTGATATCCTTCCGGTATCCTTTCAGGTAGGTGCTATTTTATGATGTCTGAATGTTTTTGTTGTTGTTGTTGTTTTTGCTTTGTGCAAAATTACCTTTAAACTGAATGAAACCACTTTTTATTAGCTTGTTCGAGGAATCATAGCACTTTTCCGTCTAAGATCGTGAGATTGTGCGAATCAAGTACGCGAGAGCGAGCGTGGAGGGGGAGCAAAAACAACACTACCTGCGTTCCATAAATTCCCCCGCGGCTCTCAGCTTGTTTGCGCTCTGGATGATAATGTGAAAAAGAACGAGGTTTGTTGGAAGAAAAAAAACCAACAGCAGTCCCTCTGTGTTCGCGTTTACTAAACACCCCGCAATTCCTATCTACTTGTCTGGATGATAATCTGAGAAAGTAGAAGATTTGTGAACTGATAACAATCGCGTCCTCTAATTTTCCAGGTTTAGTAAGTACAAAAAAACTTCAAACTGGAAGGATAAGCTAAAAATAAAATTTTTAAGATGAATAATCCTGAAGAATCTCCTTAAGGTTGCAATGTACCCTATAGAAACCACCTTGTGAAGAGTCCGCTGGTAGGCAGGTATTGCCGACCTTATATTGATTTTTATCCGATACAAGTTTTTGAACAAAACCGATCATAAATTACTTGACTTTCTTATGAGCATGAAGGTCAGTTCCAGACCATAATTCGCCAAACGTTCAACCTGATGGGCATGTCACATGTGCGGGTACCAGATTTAAATAAAGAAATGTTAACCTGTCTCCTAAAAATATATACTAGTATAAATAAATATATACATCTAATTTTTATTGTAGAGCTTGTACAATTTATTGATGATCTATAAACGAAAGTTTGCCTTCTTGCATTGCTAGGCTACGTGTCTGATAATTCTTTTGAGCTGTTTGTAAAGGAGCTTAACCTGAAATTAAATCTTAGAAATTGAGAGTGGTTGCTCAATATAATAAACATTTCAAACCTCCTAAAGTCACTTTCATCTCTTCTAGAAGAGCCATATACATGAGAGGCCAGATATTTTGACAGAAAATATGACCTAAACTTCTTGTAATTGATGGTCTTTTTTTAAGCGGGAATGCTTACTTTTCATGGAGGTTAATGTGCAGTTTTCAGCGCTCACGAATTACGTATCGATACAGACGACTCGAGAAAGGACTCTTTAACAACAAAATTACTGATCCTTGTACTCTAGGCTCTAATTTACAAAACACCACACTGATTGTTCGAGAAATAAGGCCGTTCACTCTGTCAGGCATCGCAGCTTTTGATATCTTCGAAGGCAAAAGAGCGGGAAATGTTTCGCGCCATTATCTCACGAAGGAGGTATGTTGTGATGCGATATACCTGGAACTTTGCCACCCTATCTCGCTCTCTGATTGGGTGATGCAAAGGGCGTGAACAATCAGCGCGTTGAAATGCCAAAAACAAGATAAATCTATCCCATGACGTCATGTTTCTTCTCTAAGAGAGCAATATGGTGGAAGTGAATTTCCTAGGTAAGTTTTTCAAATCCCACTAAAATAATAATGCTTAAAAAACTGGCGTAGTTCTGACGATCATTCCAATTTTGATGCAACCCTCTTTTCACAGATGCTACTTCTACTGTAGTTATCTAAGTAATAGCGTACGAATCAAAAATCAAAAGGTCACATTCGGGAAAAACGCGGTCATCGAGAGCTTCTTCTACTGGGTAGTATTATTCGCTTTGCAAAAAAAAAATAGTACTAGAAAATGTCCGTTTTCGTTTTCTCTTGGTTTTCATTTCCCGAGCTCTTTCTTATCGCTGATTTTTAACTTAGTCGATTTGTTGCGGGAGAATTGGACCATGAAGGGCTCCATTTCCATACAGGTGGCAAATCTAATTAGAAAAAAAATATCTGGAGAAATTTCCTTCTTTTATGGCCGGAAGGACCTTGATTTCCCTTCGGTATGTACAGCGAAGTAGACAAACCTTCCAGCTAATACAAGTGGTGTTCGTTAATGTTTTCCACGTGCTCGTACAAACGTAGGATGGTTGAGTGGCTGTCCAAACAAAATTTAAGAAACCTAACTTTACTAATGGTAACTGGATAAAGGAAAACACTTTCACGCATTCCAACTTCATTTTTTAGTGCAAAAATGGAGCAGTCCAGCCAGAAATATTTTCTTTAAAGTAGAAAAGTATGAATAATATAAATATAACACTATAAGGTTTAGCGGGCCTGATCTGAGACTGAAAAATCATCGCATAAGACACAAGCAGGGCGATCATTTCATTCATGCTTCGACGGGCATTGAGATAGACGTGGTGAAAATTTCAACTAAACTGCCCCAATCATAAAATAATTGTATCCCGTTGAAAAAATGATCACAGAAAACGCTTCCCAAGACGTTCTATGCAACTAAAAGAACTCAACCAAAACGCAGGTAGTAATAACCTCTCTCAAATTCACCTAAAAAACAGTTGGGCTCTACGAAAAAGCCAAACGCGAGCTGAGTAAACTAATCTACTTTCTATGATACATTCAGATAAGTGATTGACAAGACATGAGATTACGGGAAGACATGAGGTACTGGTGCCTTGTGCTGTTCATCTCATACCTGGCTACTGTGAACGCTGAAGGTGAGTTTTGTTCACTTAATTACCAACTGTCGTGAGGTGACCTATCTGTTACCATAACTTAATACAAATATGCTTTGATCCCTTTGCTTACTTTAGATGTGAACATTAATCAGTATCCTTTTGATTTCTCTACCACCTTTAATTTTGCTCACCAATTGACGAAGAGTAGTGAAATTTACTTATCCTCTCTAATTCATATTTCCTATTTACGACAAATGCAAAAGGCCCACATTGTTGCACATACGGTTAAAAGGTAGACAGCAAAAGTTAAAATTCTCATCAAATTAGTTTTATCACGATTTTTTCAGATCTGTGCGATGTCACTTACAGGGTTATCAGAAAAAAAGATCCACATCATATGGTCAGATTAAAGTAAAGGATTAGGAAAACAGTAAGAAACGAATCCAAACACAAAAGAAGGAGAACTAAAGCTGTTCTTGTTTTTACCAATGTATATGAACATTGGATCCTTCCTCGTTAAAGTGAAGAGATACATTGGGAGTTTTCTTTTATTTCAGTTCAATGGCCAGGTGGTACATACGGTTTACCTATGCCTACCACAGGCTGTCCGTCAGACGGAGTCACTGAATGGAAGACAGGTTGGACTTATCATGACACAGAGGACGACAATAATGAGAACCAGCGGTCAAACATTTTCCACATGCCTGGGAACTTTTCAGCGCATGGTATTCAGCAGAAATTCTGCTTGAAAGAAAGTAATAATGGAGACAGTGGCAGCGAAATTTGGCCTGAAGGAAAATACTGCCTTTATAAGAAAGGTAAGAGAGTTTTTTAAAAAACCCGAGCAGAGTTATCCGTACGTGTCTCATCATGTATCTAATTGTTCCGAGTCAAAACAATATTTTTCATTTTAAACTTGAATCACAACTGGTTGCGTTGAATTGATATTCAACTTGTTGTTGAAAACGTTAAACCGTTTCTCAGAAGTTTTGAGAAGAATTTTCAACAATTTTGGGTTTCAATCACCCTCATTTGACAAAAGTATTGAATAACCAAGATTTGGTTAATCGGATAATCGGCAGTGAATATAAAGATAGACAGTCAGACAGACAGCCATGAAGGCGTTACCACCAGCATTGACTATAAAACATGGAGTGTGAACATTATTAAAATAACGAATGATGATGTTTTCCCTTTTCAGGGGTATGTCCTAACGGACTAAAGGAAGGCTTCATCCGTTGGGACGACGAACAATCAGAAATAGACTTTCAAGACAAACACTTCGGAGACCTGCCCGATGGAGTCTACGAGAAATCCCACACAACAATAAAATACTGCTGTAGTACAAAGGGAAACGTCAACAATCCAATTCAACTCCCTGCTCTGAGACCCTTCTATCTTCTCACCTACGACTCAGCCCAGTGTCAGAAAGTGGCGGGAACCAAAGTTACAAGCGAGTTCATCAAGTTTGATGATGATGATCAAGGGAATACTGATGCAGCAGATGGGGCACATCCTTATGGACCCAGTGAAGACCCCTTTAACTTAAAGATTTACTATTGTTATTATGAGCCGGGTAAGTGTACAGCATGATTCAGGCAAAGAGGAAATGTCTGCTTTGTAATGCAGCGTAATAGATCAAATAGGTAAAGGTATCCTGCGTAAAAGGCCGACTCGCATAGCTGCCAGAACGAATCCTTATTTTGATAGTATAGAACGACCACGGGGTTTTAACAATATCTATTGGTGGATGTTGGTAAATCGCTGATTACCCTTGGTATGTCGTCAGAGAATTTGCTTGTACCCAGTTATACCCCTAGATGAAGAGAGGCACTGTAAGGAGGGGATTGTTTTTTTAAAGAACGCATCATAGGCACCGAGTAATGTGACCATCGAGTCTCCCATAACAGAGATGCTAAAGGAATAAAGAACCTCCCCTCCTCACCCCCCTCCCCCCCCCTTCATTTTGGGGAAGGTATATGCAGGACACCATTAAATTTTAGGAATGTGTATATTTCCATTTCAATTTTCGTTCTACTTAAAGATCAACAAAGATTTTGTGGTTTTTCCAAAAAGACGACTGCTTGTGAAAGTCTATGGAAGGCCGCGATAACTAAATTGACTGATGACAACTGATCGTTGATTTACAGGGCAAGAGAGTGAAGATGATTTAGGAACCGGAAAGGATGTTAAGAGCAAGGTAGGGATTTCAAATTAAGCATCATACAAAGTTTCGTTTTAGCTTTCGTACAATCTTGTTCTTTGTTTCTGCATCCTTATGCCAGAAACGGTTGAATGTTTTCCGTCATTTCTGCCAAATTTGAAACCAACAAAACGAGTAGCACAAATGAAACAATTTGCTCAATTCTTCTTTCTTAATTGAGTGTCGGATGACAAAAAGCCAAAAACCACAACTAATGAAATCACAATAGCTGATCAGAACAAAGTAATTACATGCCCGCTGCCTGACGTGCGTATAGACGCGGATAACGAAGTCGCAGTTTGTTCAAGTTTGCATCTACTTGATAAAGAAGTTGGAGCAAATTTTCGAAGCCAAATACTGAGTGAAGTATGGCAAAATAACAAATTCTACGCAAACAGACAAGCCTTGAAGATGAAGCTCGCGCTTTACTGAACTAACATTGACAAAGCCAGCTCTTTATCCTTAGATTCCAACAGGCAAGACTTCCAGTTCTGGTTTAGCCGTAGCCATCGGATGTGGTGTCGCAGGAGCCATTGTGGGAACCGCCTCTATTGCATTTGCCACGAAAAGAATCCTTGCTCACAGAGCACGCGCAGCATATGACCTCATTGATGATCCACAGCCTGACGGACCATGATGACATGAGAAGTCACCACCCAAATAGGAAATCACAATGTTCATTCGTCCCTAAACATTACTTCACCAAATAGAAGTGAAGAGTTTGTTTGTGGGAATCAAAATGAATAAGAGTCACCTGACTTTCTTTCCCTAAAAATCAAACCTCGCTATGAACTCGAAATTAAACAAGGATTCTTTTTTGGCGTTTTTTTGGTTAAACACATTTCGTACCCACAGACAGAAATATCAGAAATAGATCGAAATTATTAACTCGGAGTTTGGTACCGTAAATATCGCAGTTTGTCATTCGTTTCTCGTGGTTTTAAAAATTTCCTCAAGGAAGGAGAATTGACGCAGCTAGTCGAACGTTTTATGTAAAAAGACGAAGACGAGTCGATAGTAACTAAAAAATTGCTCTGGCAAAATTTACTGACAGCAGTATGGCAGTTTACGTTCATCGTTAAAAGTTGTAAAGTACGTTAAGAGTTTCATTTTCTAACATGCCAGTTGCACACGCTTGTATTGTCAGATGTTCTCAAAAAGTGACGTAGAAAACGGTTCTGTTGGGTTTACCAACAGGAGGGTAGTAGAAGAGAAATAGTAAGGTTGTATATAGCGGAACCAAACTAGTGACATATGATAGTTGCTTTAATTAGTCTGCAGCGACGACAATGGTCTGAGTTTGTTATACAATGTACAGTGACGGTCACAGAGGAGAATAAACTATTCTTTTTCGACGAAATTTACGCTCCATAGTTTGCACTATAGTACTAAAGACTCAAATGAACTGAAGAGAAAAATGACAATAGCGTACCTGCTAAATTGCATGTGACCAAACTTCCCGCCAAATTAAGGGTCGCTTAACACCACTTCACGTGACAGTGAATGAAAAAACTCCAAAGTCACGCCACATGAGGCTGGACCGACTTGGGTGTTGGCTCATGGATTAATGATAAACGAAATGATTCTTAATTCTAAAGGGCGTTTTCTATGGGCGCGAGCATGCGGGAACCTCGAGGGAGAACATTCTGGTAAACTTTTTTAGGTAAGGTCAAATACAATTTACTTCATTTCGAAGGCTATTAATAAGAATTCTGCGGTACATTAGAAATTTGTCTTAAAAAAAGAAACGGCATAACAATGAAACGTTTCGACGCCTGCGAAAACTACTAATCTATCTCAGATTCCGTTAAAGACAATTGAAAATGAAAATACAGTTGCGACATCAAGCTTAACGAACAGCGCATCTTGGAACTATGTGAGCATTTTGTCAACATCTTATCGCAAATATTTGCCAATGGCCGTGACAGTACGAAGGTTTGATAAAGGCATTGGGCGGATGTAAGACCTTCATGGCAAGACTGATTGAAATTACGATAACTACAGAAATTGCCAAGTCAATGGCGATCTATAATTGTTCTTATGTTCAGACGAGCAACTCCTCAGTTCTAGCAACAATTCATATCCTAGTAAGATGCCCAAATCCTTTAGGAAGCAGGTTTTGCAATTGATATTTGTACTGTGCTTGAAAAGGTATACTTCCCACCTCAGCTTAACAAAGCGCCCGGTTACACATATACAAAGGCTAAGTAAATTTTGGAAGGCTTTTTGTACCGTTATTCTAGTACCGGACACCCGAAGTAGCTCCAAAACCTTCCTGTTTTACGTGCACCGTTGAAAAAAATAACTGTGTGCTGCCGAACTGTAAGTGTAAACTGTAACCAGAATTAGTCACTGGCGAGGAGAGAGTAACCAATGAAAGGATTTAAATATCCTATTTAAAGGAAATGAATATTCATTCGTTTGCCTTGTACTCAGGCCACACGCATGCACTACTTGCATTTTTTCCTAGTCATTCAATTATTTTTTTGGTCCAAGTTCTGTTCTTTTTCAAATACAATAACACCTCAGAAAACATCCTCGTGTGACATGGGTATCTTCGATAAAGATCACGACGGTTCAATCTTAGCACTATAAAAAAAACAACAAACAAACAGACGTGTGCGGTCAAATCATTACTGCCGCTTTATGATAAGTGAGATTTTAGTGAGACCTGTTTCTTTTTTTTTGAGGGGTTGCTACACAGATTTCCTCGACCTTCAGTCAAATTACTAAACTAAATAATTGCGTGACTTTCCTCTTTAAACTGACAAATAAATAATTGCGCAATTAAACAAAATCTCAAGTTCACATGCCGTGCTGTCGGTACCAGGACTAACCACACGTTGTTTACTCCCTCGCACTTCCCCATTTACAGTGTCGACTGCCACAACATGAAGATTACTTGATATCACTGGTTAACATGAAACTACCATCTTCAGTTGGAGTTTTTGTCATAGCGCACTACATCTCACACGTCTGCAGTTCAGTACTAACAGGTATTTGTGATAAGTTCTAACATCTATCGTAACTTTTAAACAAATGTCAAGTCTGACCCTATTGAAAGGTGGATAATACTTGGTCACCGCACGAAAACCGAATGAATTACCTCAATTTTGGCACTATGACAGAGAGCTGGAGACAATCTGCTTACCCTGTATAGCCTTTTATAAATATATTTCTTTCTCACTCTCGATGTCCTCCTCAATGCTTATTTCTTTGATAAAGTCTTTGTTTTGAACCCCTCAGTAAAGGCTGGCAAAGCCTGGCGGGTACTTCACAGTTCTTGAATGGGACATAACAGGTTGTTTCTTTTCTTGCGACGAATCAAAGCGACCGCTGATTAACATCAGTTGCTAAACGAAGCTATAGCTAAAAAGATGTATGTAGCATCTACAATTACCAGATTTTCCTACTTTCCTCAATTTCCCAAGGAAGCTGATTTTGAGGCAAATTACTTCAAAGTCCAGTGGTCAGAGAATGAAAACAAACAACCAACAATGGGTTATTCTGATTGAAGTAAAGTAGAATTGACGAGATCGAAAGCGGGTATCAACATTCCCTCTGACCAAGATTAGTGAGACGTGATCTGTAAAAAAAAGATTCTCGTAGCTGCTGCAATTTTCTGAAAGTACCTTTAGCTTGCAATCAAAATATATAGGATTCCGCACGCGACGCATTACTGTTTCAGTTTACGGAAACTTGGTCCAAAATCATAATGTGAAAATTCCTTTATGTTTCCCCGATCAACGTTTTAAAGCTGCAGTTTGAAACAAAAAATACTTCGGGTTCATAAAGCAAGTGCATTTTATGGTAAAATGTTGCTGCTTTCACTTCTAACATGCTCTTTTCATTAAATGTATAAAACAGGTAACCCCGGGATGACAGAGCTCGCACTTAGTGATTGACATCCCAGAGGTTGAACAAATCGAGGGACGTCAAATTTCATGAGAAGCAACTCAGAAAGCTACCATACACTGAAATGTTTAAACATGCTTATTTTTCATCACGCAGTGTTCGTTATCACATAGTCTTTTGTTCATTTCTCACTTCTGTAAATTTTGATGCTTTCCAGGAAAGAGCCGATGGTCGCCTGGTTTCTTGAGTCAAGTTCGTGACCTGTCTTGTGAGCCCGGAGAAGTCAGGAACAACGTCACATTCCTCCATGGCACCAAATCCGGGAATTTTACCAAATTAGGAAAAGTGTCTGACTTGGAAGTGTGTATGTTGTTATGCTGTGAGTTGGATCGTTGCCAGGCTGCGTTTTTGGCGGGAAAGAACTGCTACTCGGTTACTTGTTTCACAGACAACCATTGCGCAACTGCACCCGCGCTGAATAACAAGTGGCAGCCAGTGGTGGCGTTCGTAAAGAGATTACATAAAGCAGTTCATGTAGAAGCTGGTAAGAATTTTTTTACGACAATCCTAAAATTTTCTGTTTGACCTTTCTTTTTGCGCAAAACGACCAGAGTATGAAATTATTAAGCGGATTGTCCTCTTAACTTTCTATTTGAGATTCTCTCATCCCCCTAAAAGGATTGGCATCTCATGAACTCTGTTCACAAATTATGCGTAATTGATATTATCTCTCAGTATTAATATAACTTCAATATTACTGAACTGACTGACTTTTGAGGCAGTTGGCTGTGCTGTTCGCTTTTTCCGATGCTAAAATTTAAAAGTGGACGACAAAAACATGGTATTCTTCAGAGGGTATCTAAGTACTGAAGAGAAGGTTCGGTAATACTTTGACTCTTTGAAGTTACAAAGACAGAGAAATCTAATAAGATTCCAATAAACAACTATGATGTTATTATGTCCACTGTGTAACCGGGCCACATTCATTTTCCTGTAGCTCACGATGGTAACACTATCATTGACGCAGACGAAGCTGGAAAGACTGGGGAGAGTAGCAGCAGTCAGAATGGAAAGAATAATAACGCGCAGGCCAAAAAGAAGGCGCATTTGAAAAATTTTTTCAAAGAAGAAGAGAAGACAAGCAAAATGGAGCAGAACAGCGCGCGGGGAAAAATACCAGCTGGCGGAATGGCGGATACTGTTGAACTCGATGAGCTACAAACACAAGCTTTATCAAATAGAAAAGTAAGCGATATCAACAAATATTCGATTTAAAACGCAAAGCAGTCATTCTCACGAACGAGTACAACGCAATCTCTGAGAAATATTTGCAGGTCTCCTCTGATATAATTTTTACGTAAACTAAAGGGAGAAATCTACTTCAGTAACGTAATTGCCTACAGTGTCGTTTAGTGTATTCCTATTTACACCACTGCGACGTAATTTCAGTATTTATGACCGAATATGGTCCCCTGATTTCCTCCTCACTTTTGTTGTTCTTGAAGGTTGCGCATGAGAAGAGACACTCTGCAAAGTACAGTCTGGTGTCAGCGGCAGTAGCCACGTGTCTTATGGCTTTTGTTCTCAGTGGATGCGCGGTTGTGGCGGCGAGAATACGAAAACGAAAAGAAAGCGTCATGGATTATGCTCAAGTACCAAACACTCAAGAATAATAACGAAAATATGACAAGTTATGGAGGCACAAGCTATCAAAGTGAAAAGAGTTTATCAAAGAATATATATTTTCTAGAAAAACATGTGAAAAGATGGCTAAGAAATAATCTAAAAGGCGTGGTCAGTGATTTTTAAGAGGAGCTAAGTCATGAGCAATTGTGTCTACCACAATAAGATTTCTGGTTTCTCTGGTTAACTCTTACTTATGTACAGCCTGTCTACCCCATTTAACTAAAACTTAAGGTTTCATTCTCTAACAGTACAATAATCTCAGTCGACGAAATGACTCAACATGTCGTAACATGGCCCCTCACGAAGCACCTTAAATTGAATCCTAATGCACCTTTCAATAGTGTCTCAAAACCAAAACCAATGAAATCACAAAGGACAAAAAAAACTAAAGGACATATCGCCAGGAACATTCTAAAGAAACGGTTTGAAGCGAGGGAAACGGAAAGGAACATATCATTCATAGATTAAGTTTTGCATCTGATTGGTTGGGAGGTTGGTGTGGATTTTCTTTTCTTGGTGTGGACCAATAAGTGCTTGGATTGCTTTTACACTCAAATTAAAGCTCCCTCTGCCATAACTATGAATGGTGTTCCTAAATCTTACTGTCATGTAAAGTTGCACCAAATGAGCTGAAAAATAACAAAACTGATTGAGGCAAGGCATCTTAAAGATATCACCGAGGTAGATATTAAATATTCAAAAGTAAACCAGCCAGAAAGCCCTTCCACTGTTCAAATTGTGTTTCTTTGTAATTCTGAATGCAAGCAAAAGAACTCATCTTAATTTTTTACATAAAAAAACTGAAATGAAAAAGTGTTTAGCTTTGTGTATTTTGTCTAATCCAATGTCTTCCTGACTTTTCTCCATCCTACCTCTTTTCTGCACCCTTGATTCCAACATTTCATGCTCCTAAATTCCAGTCACACACTTCTTTTGATATTTATGCCCTTGCAGTGTCATATCACATTTTCCATACCCGGAGGGCCATGGGTGGCCACTGAAATAATACAGGGTGAAAATAAAGTCGAGTAAAGTCAGTGAGTATGGACAGAGCACTCAGGTAGAAACTTGGGAGGCACAATTTCTCTTGAATTGTATAAAAGATGTCCAATTACGATTAATTCCTTCACAACTTTCTGTATTATTTAGTCATTGAGTGAGACTGTGGTAGTTACACTTTCATAAAAAATTGCAAAGACAACAGAAAAACATGACTCCATTTTAAATTCTTTTAATGGACAGACAAGTGGTGAGGGCATTCAATTACGGGGTCCAACAACAGAGAAAATGGACAGCAACAATTTAACAATAATACTATGAGCACAAATCATAACCATCTTACTTCTAATGTAATAATAATAGTAATAAATAATACCATGGAATTAAGTTATAGTAATTGTAATTATTTCATAGCCCATATCTAACTTAACTATTTGGAATTAATAGTTACTTTACAGACTATGAATTTATATTGAATAAATATGTATTTAGTAGTATATAATTACAATTATTCTTTAGATCAGTACCTAGAATATCTATCAGACAGGTAAACAAAAAAATTGATTTTCTATGCAAAACACAAAAAAGGCTTTCAAAGTTTTCAGATACTCCCCCTTTTTCCCTTACTGCATTAATCATATTACAATTATATGGAATGCTGGCTATTATCCTAAACAAAAGAAAATTTTGCATATGGATCTAGCCGTCAATTAGATATATTAAGTTAAAATATTCACATCTCTTCCATACATTTCAATATTCATTTGAGAAAAATAAAGCATCTGTCAACAGGTGCATGATTACTAATCTTGTGGCTCAAAAATATGTAATTTATTTTTAAACAAATCAGAAAGGCTATAGCACAGCTTGCTAAGACTGATTAAAGATCATCTCAAATTATCATGGGACAGAACAGCTTTTAAGACAGTATATAATACAAACTGAGATAGTATGCTGGAAAAGAACATACTACAATTGAACCTTGATTATCTTGACTAGTGGAGACTGGGCTGAATGCTCCAGATAATAAACAGTCCAGATAATTAAAAATATAAATGTTGATGAGCCAAAAATACAATACTAAATAGGCATCAATCAATCAATTTTTTACAAGAATTGAAAGACATCCTCCAATCATTGTGCAATTTCAAAAAAATTTTCTTAAATAATATTTAAAACATTTTACCATGACAAAATGTTACAACCTAATGTTTTAGTACAGCTGGTACATTTCATGGAAAAAAATTTGCAACAGATCTCAAATGTGGTTATTTTTTATAATTGATATTAAAAAATTGGACCAGAGAAGAGAGTTCGGATAATTGAGGTGCGGATAATAGAGGTTGGACTGTATCGATCTGCTATGTGCACTGCCTTAGCCTCTAAAAAAGGTCAAGATGTAGGCTTTGAATAAAAAAGACTTAACTGATAAAATGAAACAAAAATACATTTATGACATACACCTTCTACCCCTTTTCCTTTATAATATAACAGTATTCAGAGTTTTTCTAAATCTAAGGTGGAAATGTAAGTTATAGAACTTTTCTCTGAAGGCTCTCTAAAATTATGCCTGGCTCTATTTAGAAAAATTCTTTATTTAACAGTTAAAATTACTTATGAGATATCAACTCTCATAATAATTGTTATTAACAGGTTCCACTTCTTGAAATCAATCAAATTAAAGGAAAATGAAAGACAAAGAAGGAATTGAGTGGTGATTTTTACAACTTTTTCTTTAAAACTTCCCTTTCCTTATTTCTGCTTCCACTTTTTTACAAAGCAGCTCAGTGCTGGATCAATGAAATAACTGCCTAATTTCAAAATGGCTGTATGTGGTCTGAAACGACCCCTATTATTTCAAATCAAATGAGTGCTGAGCTCAGGGTCAATTTATTGCTTACATCTCAAAATAAAGGGGTCTTAGCTCATAAAGAAAAATATTTTCAGCTATTGTGTAATCCAAGGGGTGTAGAACAAGACCTCAGTGAGGTGTGATCCATGATACGAATTTTCAAATTTAAACCTAGTCTGTTCAACTACTACTTCCTTGTGAGGGGAGTGCTTGTTGGACGTCACACTCTGACTGAAAAAGATCACACACTGTAAGGAGTACCTCACCCCACTCTTGACAAGTACAGCAGTTTTGAATTTGACGTCAATGCCATCACCATTGTAAACTCCATTGTTATCTGCCAGAAACTCTCCCTCAGTAAATCCAAGAGACTTTTGCTGAGAATTTTCTTCCCTTATCCACAATTGCACTTTATCTCTGCGACTTTCCACATCGGACAAACCAAAAGTGCGGGTGAAGACACGCCCACCGGCAATGTATACTGGGGATTCTGAATTGACAGTGAATGAAACTGTCTCTTCACGTCGTCCTGTACCATTACTTGGAGGTCTGTACCAGTGGTGTGGTGAAGGTGCTTCTGAATATCGGGCACATCGTCGCATAGGCCTTCCGCTGCGTGGAACGCAAGGGAAAACTACGTCTGGTTTGGTGTTTGTGGCGCTGAAATGTAGAAATATATTGAGAGCCTCTCGGTCGCTTAAAACATCTTGAGGAACCACTTCTTCTGCAAATTTCTTTTGCGACATGACTGGAAAACGAAGAAAGTACAGAGTTTCGCCAAGTGCTTTCCTTATATTTGCCCCAGAAGTGTCCAACCCATTCAGCTCACACTGCTTCTTCGCCCAGCGCAAGGTATAATCAAATAACTCTGACTCCTCGATCTTTAAAGTTTCCCTGCGTAGTAAAGACTTAATCACTGCTTCATCAAGTTCCAGAAAACTAGGTGATTCCAGACACTGTTTGGTGTTGAGATCAACAATAAACCAACATCTCTTCTCTAATTCTTCCTCTCTAAACTGTCGTGCCTGGGTCAACGTCTCGAAAACATTGTTCGGATCGATCCTTTCTTCGAGAAAACGGCCACATTGCCGCATCAGCGACAACACTAAATATTTCTTTGCTAAATACATAACACCGAGCACAGAATTTGCCGTGAGATGCAGTTCGTCGTAGTAGATGAATCGAAGAAACTCGGTCAAGCACTCAGAGTTACAATCAGGAAGTTCGATTCTGTTTCCTTGTTCTGCTATGCCACCATGAAACATGGCAAAGAAAACAGGGCTACTGATCGCAAGCACATACTTGTGTGCTGGTAGAGCAATTTTTGTGCCGTGATCTTTGGTGGAATCTTCAACAACAAAGCTCACATCGCTGATCGTGGGATTTAAGAACATGTACTTGTTCCGCTCCCGCACGGTTTCCCTTGTTGATTGCCAATCATCGGTTTGAATGTCACTCGCTAAGTCCATAGTGATAAATAAATTAGTAAAGAAATATATATTGAAAAGAGAAAAACGCGTAATTTGTACGTGGCGAATTGTGTTTAGTTAGATGTACGAAGCATATTGACATTGAAGTGTTACGTGACAAAAACAACGGCCCACTCATAGAGGTCTGGGCCAAATGGTTACGTAACAGCGTTACACACACGATCAAATAAATTTTTTTGTTTAAATTATTGCGTTTCAGGCATTGGGGGCTCCTCAGAAGCATAATTCAAATCACTTTTAAAGAAAAACCATTACAATTTATCCTTAACTTTACAGCTGATCATTAAAAAAAACTGGTACCAAACAGTAAACCATCATAATGATAAATAATAAATGTTTTAACTTTGTAAAAGAGTGGAGTGTTACCTGCATTTGAAGAGAGAGAGAGATGTAAATGGATTCAAGAAATGCCTGTAAAATCCCATGCTAAATACATTTTTGAACCTCCAAAACACCCTTGATGGATTACAAATAATAACAATAAACCAAATTACATATCACAATGCTTTTGTGAGTCATTTTCATCTCATTTTCTCCAGAAAGAGGCCTTTGTTCTATTGCTTTTAAAATTGAGTTTTCAACCAACTTACTACATATTATTATTAGGATCAAATCAATATTATCAAATATAATAGGAACATTAGGCCTGAGTATTGGGAAAGCTAACAAATATAATTTCAATGACAAAGTGCCCACAGAAAGGTGATTAAGAATATTTGACTCACAGAATGTTTATAAAGGGGGCAGTTTTGAGTAATATATAACTGTCATTCAAAATATTGATTTAGATTTAGACAAAGATAATGAAATATCACTTCCTATTTTCTATGGATAAAATTTGAAATGTACTTTACAACAAAAAAATTTGCATAAGGCAACTTAATTTATTTGTTTTAAGCAAAATTCAATAGTTACAAAAGTATAAAACCTGAAAAAATCAATCTGAAACATGACAAAAAAAAGCACTTGTACAAATTTACAACAAACAGGAGCTCTTGCCTGCACTTAACAATAACTTGACTGCCTTAGTTAGTAATCCAAGGCAAATTTTAAAACTTCTACTGTTAACTTTTGAGGAAATTTCCCCCAATATTATTCAGCTTTCTATCAAGCAGAACTTTAGGTGAATGCATATTAAAGGAAGCGCAATTGATCTGTCCAAGCATGCACTCTACATAAAAAAAATTTTTAATTGCACAAAAAATAGAAATATAGTCCTATCAAAAATATCGCTACTTTGTATTCCAGCAATGATTTTTGTTATGAATTAAGTATGCCTGACAAAGTTTCAATGAACTTTAATCCATATTAGATAACCATGTAAAACCTCCACACTGCTATATTTTAAAAGTTGTCAGTATGAGTATGTGACTATGTTCTGTGAGCCAGCCATCAGTAAAATATCATCACACTGTGTTTTGTCCCTCTCAATCTATTTCTTTTTGAGTGACTGTATCTGTAATTGATTATTGTCTCATTGGAAAAAATTTCTGATGCAGTTCTTCTTGAAGTTTCAACACCACTACAAGTTAAGACTGATTGCCTTCAATGTGCTCTATTTCCTTAGAAATTTCCCCTGAATTTAAAAAAGAAGGCATCTCAAATTTTTAAGTTCCCTCCTTCTTTAGCTCTCAATAAAAATGCATTTATCAGCTCCTCCACACTGAGAATGCAGGGCCATCCATGCGAGAACTTCGAGGTGAAGAATCGCTAGCTGTCAAGACATCACCATTGTTTAATGCAGCTTGTTGCTATGAACATAATACACACAGAAGTAATGAGACATCTCCTACTACTGAGCATAGAATAATAAACTATACAAATAACACAAATTATGTTTCAACTTTTTCAAAATAATTCAAGAACCTTAACTTGAATCTAGCAAAATACAGCATTCTCTTGGCAAAAGATCTATCACTTGACTGAGAAATATTATAAGAGAGTGACAATCTCTTGTATAAATTAAGCAGTTACATAACCATCATTACACTTAATTTGTTTTGTTTTGTTTTGTTTTTTTATTTCTTTAATTCAACACTGTTAGTGGCTTTGCTATGATTACTGCTATTCTAAAAGATCTATCTCTTCTTAAGTATGAGGTAATGACAACTTACCTGGTAGCTATGCTGTGTTCTATCCCCTCGCAGTGTTGGTGTCTTGAAAATATATGCTGAACCAGGGCGTGAAAAGTATGCTCTATCTGTGTTTGGAATTTTTTCTTCTCCAATTTCAACCTATAATATGTTTTAAAGATAATCATCAGATGACAATATCTTGACAGTCAGGTAAATAGAATACTACCTATAAAAAGCAGAATAATTTAAGTGTATCTTTTTATATGTTAATATCATTATAAAGAGTAAGCTAAAACATTGTGGCAATGGCTGAACAGAACCTCTTACCTTCTTCACAATATCCATTTGAATAAGCTCAGCTTTGGGTGTCCTTTTACATCCTGCAGCTATGTCAAATTTAAATTTTCCACATCTTTTAAGCAAGTACATTTATATTACGCTTAATTCCTGGCAAGCATAAGGAACCACTCAGGAACTATCACATGTACTTATCAATTGAACAAAACTCACATAAATCAAAGAAAAACATTCCTGAAGAATAACATGAAACAGTAGAATTTGTTATGATATAAGAAACACTACATCTAGTTTGGGGAAGCAGACATATCTGAAAATATAAATCATTTTCATTTACAAACCTGCAAAAAATGGCCATATCCCATCAAGTGCAGATGCAAAGTCAATTGCTGATCTGGAAATATATATTACATCATGAAAGTATTAAGTTATTAACATGAACAAAAAGAGCCCTAAGTAAACTGAGCTAGCATAATTCCCTGCATATAAATTTGAATGTGTAAATCACTTTAGTCGAAACATATACTTCCATTCAACACAATTTTAAAATTAATTTTAATAAGGATTCTCATGGAACTTCAGTCAAATTGGTTCTTTGCTTTTGTCATAGTATGATCATGATTTTCCAAGTAGAATGATAGGAGCTCATATATTTTGAGACAAGTGGCTCACTACAGGGCGTGAAATTGATTTTTTTTTCTGATAGCCACTTGGCTCCTAAATTTTTCAAAGTGATAGCCACAATTCAAAAATAGTTGGTCACCATTTTTAAAGATAAACAAAACCCTTTTTTTTACGCTGTCAGTGTTCTAGATAGACCCTCCAAAATTAAGTTCTACAAAGTTCTACAAAGTGGACACTAGGATTGATATACAACATTAAAGCTCAACCAAATCCAAGATGGTGTCTAGTCATCGATGGAGATGCATGTGCCACATTTTGGAAACAAATTTAATGCGGAAGTTTGCCATGGATTTATCTTTGCAAATCTTTTTAATTCACAATATCTCTAGGTGGGGTTATTATGAAGCATTCTAGTCGCCAATTTGGGGACTACTTTTGAGGATTTGATCGCCAAAATGAAAAATTTAGTCACATTGGCGCCTGTATTAGGCACAATTTCACGCCCTGCACTAGCATTATCGTACAATCATCAGATCAATTAAATAGAAGGCAAACACAAAATAGAGGCAATTGTTAATGCCATTTTCCCTCATCAGATTGTACATACAGGGACTAAACAGTTAAAAGGTCACAAGCATCCATGAATTTTGTGCAACCCTTTGAGCAAATTCTGAGGCTTTAATTGATTAATACATTCTAACTTGTTATTAGTAAATTAGGCATTCAGTTCCAATCAAAATGGGAAATGGCTGCTCCACAATATTTCTTTGATAGTATTCAATAATTGTATGATTTGCCAAAAACTAGTATTGAAATGAAGTGAAAGTAGCCTACTGAAGATGCAGACAAGTTTACAGCTTTGACTAGCTACTGACTCTAATTGAGAGCCCTGTTATTGACTATCCTAAGTTCTTTCATCCGATGAAAATAATTCTAATAAAAATTCACTACACACCATAAAAACACCTTCTTTGTAATTTTTTACATGGTAATGACCCATTTACCTGCTAAGGTTGTCTCTAATTGTCAGATCTGGGTTATGATTCATTAGTAGCATTACAACTTTTCCATGTCCTTGGAATGTTGCACAGTGCAGGGCTGTCCAATTTGTGCCTCTGTTGCACGCATCAATGTCAGCTCTGAAAGCGGACGAAAGAGACTACTTTGTAAATGTAATTCTGGAAACGAAAAGTGCCACAGATAAAGATATTTCTGTTTTTTCTCAAAATCGTAAAGGAACATTTTACTCACCCTCGATCTAGCAAAAGTTGTACAATGTTGCTGTAACCCCAAAAAGCTGCAATGCAAAGAGGTCTGAAGCCTTCTGGTGAAAATGAGTTTGCGTCCACTCCTTGATCCAAAATCGCCTTCACCACCTAAAAAGAACACAAAGAAGCTGTGAGAAAGGTACCAAATTAACAAAGTTCCCTTTACATCAATTTTAAAACAAAAATTACGATTTAAAAAAAAAAAAACCTGACCTTTTCGTCGCCTGTAGCCGCAGCGCTTGTTAACTGCGCTCCGTCCGCCATCTTGTTTTTATTGTTATTTGCAACACCGCTGCTCAAAACAATTCCTTATTTATAAGCCCGCTGACCGCCTCATTCCCGTGACTCAAACAAACTTTAAAGAAATTTACAAGTTGCAGGCAGGAACGATGGCTTCTTCTCTTGAGCAGCTAAAGAAATTCACCACCGTCGTCGCTGATACAGGCGATTTCGAATGTAAGAGAGAGAGATGATTTTTCGAAGGATTTGCTGTTTGCTTGGAGTAGCTCAACCTATGTGATTTTTCTTTTTAGCCATTTCTAAGTACAAACCTACTGATGCGACAACAAATCCATCACTGCTCTTGGCTGCGTCTAAAATGCCTCAGTATAAACACTTGATTGAAAAAGCAGTTCAGTATGGAAAAGCAAACGGAAGGTTAGTGCTAGGGATCTATTTTCAGATAAATTTTGGAGATGTAATCTAACTTTTCTACTAGTTTGCGTGTAAATACCTCAAAACACCAGTCACCCTTCATGCCTGGTGAACTGGCAAATATGTGATTTGCATGTTGTGATTGATTGGTATGAATTAAAACAGGAAAAATTGTACAAGCGTTGATTGTTTTGTTGATGACGAATTTATGATAATTCATATGGTCCAATATCGATCGGGAGTTTGCTTTACGTAATTTGGTTTTCATTGGGTGCCAATATTAGTCATCATGACATAAAGACTGTCACGTGCAAGCTCGCTCCAAGGACTCATCAAAAACTTTTAAGAAACTCTTGGATTGGTTATTGGTTTATCCAGACAGAAAAGACGACGACAGATTCTTGTAAAATACTTTTTAGGAAGATGCTCAATCACTAGGATTCAAGTGATTTTTTAAAAAATTCTGGTTGTCTTCAAGACTTTCCTTGACCCTTTTGAGTCATGGATTTTATCTTGTTAGTCAATGCAAAAGGCATGACATGCAAAATAAATCAGATCTCATATTTCTAGATCACTTAGCCCCACATTGGTGTTGCTTTCTCTTCAACCCCTCGAATGTTTTTCTTTGTAATTGATCCCCACTGGTTTTGTCTGGGATAACTGCAAATATGATTTTAACAAAGGAGGGGCATTAATTCAAAGGAGGATGCTTAATATTCTTCTGTACAGATTCTGCTGTGGTTGAAGCTTAAGAAAGTCATAATTTAAGTGGTGATAGAAGCAGGTTTTCCTTTCATTCTTGCCATTTAAGATAGTTAGAGAGAGGGGAGGGGGAAGTGCTTATTCAAGAATGGTTCCTGTTTGACATTATCACCTGGGAGGTGGGCTCTTATTCTACAAAGGGTGCTTATTAGAGTGTGGGCACTTATTCAAGGAAATATGATATTCATGAGACCCAGATACGCACTATCAGAAAGACATAAAGGTAGCAAAAGTCATCCAAGAGCCACAAGCAGTGCAGAACAGTTGGCTGGCAAGGCAAAGGGCCTGTATTTGTCTTGCCATTCTTATCACAGGCTTATCAGTCTTGCTGCCTGTTTTAATGTCAGTCCATTGGAGCTTGCTTGAAAAACAGACAGGGAAAAAAATGAATCAATTGAAGAGAGAAATTCAAAGGGAAAATAATTTTACAGTGTTTTGTTTTTCTATTTATTATAAAATTTTACCCTATGCTCCTGTTAGATTCTGACCTTGTCAATCACTTGACAAAAGTATCTTGTCTCAGAACAAATCTTAATGAAATTTTGTTTCAAATTCAAGCACTCTGGAAGAGCAAGTAACTGAAGCAATGGATAAAATAGTAAGTCCAACAATTTTGAATTGCGTAATTGAGACCTATTCAGGAGAGAGCTTTGCTCTAGGTTTCATTTAATGTTGAAACTCTAATATTACCCCTCCCTTTGAAGTCATGTTTGCTGCCCACAATCATCATGGTAATGGCTATCTTTAAGCAGAAACAATAATTATGGGCAGAAAATAATCCAATTACAAAGTTCTCAGGAAAATGACCCGAGAAACAGCATATGTTTATATGTCAGCATATATGGCTGAGATGTTGGCAATATGATGTACAGTAGCATAAAATGCATTTAAATCATGCATTTGCAACTTAATTTGCATGTAAATGAAAAGAAAAAAATAATGGCAGTTCACACTATAATTTAAATATGGTGTGTTGAACAAGCTTCAATTTTCCTATTTACCTTATTTTGGTAATCATGATCTGTCACCCTTCTCAACAAGGTGTTTATCTTTCTTCTTCATTTATCTTCTTTTTTCAGTTTGTTCTTTTTGGTGTTGAGATACTGAAGCTAGTACCAGGTAGAGTTTCAACAGAGGTTGATGCCAGGTCAGTGAACTTGAGTTATAATAAATCAAAAGGGTATACAAACAGTTCAATCTTGGTTGACATTATCATCCCCTGGCTTTAAAAGACAGGTCTTGTTACACTGCAGTTCTCTGCATTGTGCAATCCTCTTTGGCAGACCCCAGATATACCAGGTCAATGCCTGTCTCCAGATAGCAAACTCAAATAAGTGTGCTGTGAGCGGATTCAGACGATGAAGACGAAACTTTAGGCTCCAAAAGAAAAGTCATTATAACATCCCTTTCATAGGCTCCTTATGCATTGACAAGAAAACTGTAGGATTCGATACCTGGGCTTTTCTGATATTGGTGGGAAAGCCCCCTTAGTTTTTTTTCATGTTGGGTATCTAAAGAACATGATTAAAAAACATGATTTTAGTAGCATTTTCAATATTGCCATCACAGAATCTTAGGACTGCTTTCTGCCTTTTTCTGAAAAAAAAAAAATTATCAAAAGGTTAAATTATTTTTCAACCTTAACATCAGGGAGGAAAAAAACTTAGTTTATAATGTAAACCAAGTAAAAATTATTTATCATAAAATATAATTTTTATCATTCAATAATAAGTGTGAATTAAAATTCTATAATTATAGTGGTCAGAAATGGCTGTTAAAGCTTTTTTAGCCCTTTAACTTCCCAGATCAAATTTGTAATCCTCCTTACTATCAACCATACAACTCTTATAATGTTAGTTCAGAGAATTTAGTATTGGATCAACTAATTGTCACCAAATTGATATTTTTCTTTATTATCATAACTTATCTGGTTGTTATTTTATTGATATTGTATGGAGAAATTCTGTCTTGGTCACTCATGGGAGTCAAAGGGTTAAGATCTTATATTTCTACAGAAGTCTGTTGTAAACATGATTTCAAATGTAGTTTGAATCTTTGTACACTTCATTTTGTGTAGGTTATCCTTTGATGTTGAAGGCTCAATTGAGAAAGCAAAAAAGTTCATAAAGCTTTATGAAGAGGCAGGAATCAGTAAAGAGAGAATCCTCATTAAACTTAGCACAACTTGGGAAGGAGTTGAAGCTGCAAGGTTAGTATTTAATACCCAAAATTTTTTCTCTAAATGGCTCTAATTGTATTTTCTTCCCAAACTTTTGCATCTAATTTGTCTAAATCCACCAGCTCCTTAATTGCGGTTTGACTACTACCTTCTTCCTTTACTTCAGCTTTTACATAGCAGTGTTTTAAAGTTGCCCCAGGGGAAGGTTACACTTGTTAATGGTGGACTTATTCTAATTTGTGGAACCATTTAAATGCTTATATCAGGATCTATATTTCCCACACTTTTCTCTTCTTATATCCTATAGTACTGACCAGTAGATTTCTTTTAACCATCCTAAGCCATAAGGGCCTCCTTTAATTGGTGATTATTTGTTTTTTTCTTGGGACTTCTATATTTGATTCAATGGTGATATTGTTCCGAGAAATTAGAAGTACAGTCACTGTAAGGGGTTAAACAGTTAAATCCATCCAATAGTTAAGCAAGATTCAACCAGCGGAAGGGCTGATAATGAATAGCCACACACTGTTAGGTGTGTATGGCTAACTGAGCATGTGTTTTCAAGAGGCAAGTGATCTATTTGGCCACACATGTTAATAATGCCATGGATTATGTTAATGGAATAATTTTTTAAGTATTTTAAGCTCTCCACAATGGTTACTTTTCAGGAAGCTCGAGCAAGAGGATATCCATTGCAACATGACCCTTCTTTTCTCATTTGCTCAGGTAATCTTTTCTTTACTTTTAAAATAATAAACATTTTGGGAGCAAAGTGCATTCTGTATTGAGAGCAGGCTACATAATAGAATGAACACACAATGACATACATAAATATATGTATGTCACCTCTGTTCAAACAAAGCAGGTGTCATGAGCCAGACACTGCATTCCCCTTTAGACTGTTATAAATCAGCCCCAAAATTTGGAGCATTTTGTTGCAAACAAGTTTTTGCCTCAAAGATTTTAGGTGTGCATATGAACATACACATAATCAATGATATTTTATTTGTAATTTTCCCTTCTCTCTTTCCCCAGGCAGTAGCATGTGCCGAAGCAAATGTCACACTAATCTCACCATTTGTTGGTCGCATTCTGGATTGGTATGTCAAGAACACAGACCAGAAGGAATTTCAACCCGCAGATGATCCAGGTAACATGAGATTATTAATGAGTAATTGTACAGGAATTTAATTCACATCAGTCAAAGAGATGTTAATGCAGAACTCTACCCTAGACTCCATAGAGGCTGGTTCCCTTAATTCTTTTTAAACATAAAAATTTGTGACACAACCATTACAAAACATCGGAGAAGAATGTTTTGAAACAAGTTATGTTAGGAAAACAAAGATATTTTGTTTGCTGATCTTGTCACCACCACACAATACTATACTAGACAGAGTATTCTATATTTGTACTCTCTTTGGAATGATCACAAAACATGTTCAACAGTATTGAAAACAATTACAGTTGTCTTGGATTATGCAGACTCCTGGGTATTGGGCTGGGTATTTACTCTGGATAATTGAAAGTCTGCACAATTGAAAATATGAATAATACAGAGCAAAAATAAAACTAAATATGTATCATACAATCAATATTACACAAGAATTAAAGAGCATTCTCAAATCATTGTGTGTTGTTAACCCTTTAACTCCCAAGATCTCATTAGTAATTCTCCTTACTGTCTGCCATGCAGTTCTTATGATGTCAATTTGGAGAATTTGGTATTGGATCAATTCATAATCCCCTTATTGATATTTTATTTTATTCTCATCACTTCTGTGCTTGATATTGTATTGAGATTGTAAGGAGAAATTCACTCTTAGTCACTAATGGGAGGTAAAGGGTTAAAATTTACCAAAAGTATCTACAAAAATTTTTTTGATTAACCTACAATAATAATTTTGATGATTATGAATTGATAATAAAAATATAGTTGATTATCATAATTATATCTGTAAAGATACAATTAGTGCATCCTTACACTCCCACTATGGGTAGTTACATTTGTCTCATGCTTTGGAGGGGTGTTTTTGTTAGGTGTGAAGAGTGTGACAGCAATTTACAATTACTACAAGAAGTTTGATTACAAAACTGTTGTCATGGGAGCATCATTCAGAAACACAGGGCAGATCACTGAACTAGCTGGTTGTGATTTACTCACTATCAGGTAATAATTTCCACTCCCTTGGTATTAATTTATTGCAATAAATCAAATCAGAGCTCTATTTTCATGGGCACTTCAAATCACCCTCTCTCATAAAGTAGGTGGTTAGTAAGAAAATTTATCCTCTCAATCTCAAACCATAAATAATTTATGACCGCAAAATATAATTGCCATCACATTTTCATGGAACACTGTTATCAAAGGTTTACTTGGTGAATCTTGACTCTTCACATGGGTGTTGTATTTTAAGTTCTTGCTAAGATATTTTTCTTAATAGAAACTTGTACTTTTTACACACTTGAATGTTTTAGCATGAGAAAAAAAGGAATAGACACCCAGTTTTGAAAAAAACACCCAAGAATCCTGCTTTGCATAAAGATTAGAACAGTTTTTATCTGGTCCTGGTTATAACCACAGTGACATCTACAAAATGCTTTTAATGTTTTGTACATAATAGTATACCTGAAGAAATTATGCACATCTGATTGGCTGTTGTCTTTGAAAATTTACTTTTGCTTATTAACACCAAATTGCACTCAAAATCATGTTAGTACCAATACATATACAAATTCTTATTTAATATTCTGTGATTCATTTCAGTCCCTCATTGCTAGAAAAACTTTCCAATTCCACTGAAACAATTTCCCAGAAGCTTTCAGTCGAGGAAGGTGAGAAAGCAAATATACCTCATACATTGACAACCTTTGACAACCTTTGAGGTTGTTGTTTCTGTATCCTTTTAGCAAAGCTGAAGAGGCACAAGCTAAGAAGAAGTCATACAAAAACAATTGGCAACTTCTGTAGGACTAAAAGGAAACAAAAAGAAATTAATAATAATAATGCATTGAATACATTAATACATTGACGAAAGTATTTTTCCTTTACACTTCTCCATCAATAATTAATAATTACATCATGAGCTCTCTATTTCTATTGTGTGATAGTTGATGAGGATAAAGCCCAAATCAACTATTGAGCATAGAATGGAGAGGGAATTATGAAATTATTCTGGTCTATATATACTAGTTATTCAATACTTAACAAGACGGTCTATATATACTAGTTATTCAATACTTAACAAGACAGACTTCTCTCGTCTTTTTATTTTATTTTGCTATCAGTTGCATTCTGCTAGGCTACTCACCTCACTCACTATATTTAGGCAGCAAGTATCGTGTCCAATCAGATCGCAGCACTTTTGATAGAATGCTAGTAGATTAAACTAAAACTTCACATCATGAAGCCTGACATATAGTCAGCATAAACACATGAGACCAGTTTACTGAACATTTTTAATGCATGTTCATTTTAAAAGTGCAGCATTTATTTTGAACTCTAAATAGTATCAAAAGGATCAGGTATTTTTAGCTCTTTATGTAAGTACTCTAACAGTGAATAATGCATACTTATGCACACAAATTAACAGTCACACAAAGCAACATGCATAACCTTTAAGGCAGTATCAATCAATTGTTGTTGTTGCTTGTTAATCTTATTAATACTCAATTGTATGCCTTTTGCAGCCAAAAAACTCGACATTGAAAAAGTGTCCCTAGACGAGAAGAAATTCCGCTGGCTTCTCAACGAGGATGCTATGGCAACAGAAAAGTTGGCTGAGGGAATCAGGAAGTTTGCTGTAGATGCTGTGAAACTTGAGGATATGATCAAGAGTGAACTCCAGAAATAAGCTTTCCATAGCGGGTAGTGCTATATACGCCACTAGGACATTTTGAAAACATGGCTTTATGACCGGAACTTAATGGTCCTTAACATGAAAAGAATGCTAAAAGATATGATAACGGGTATTTAAATCAGACATGCGTCTTGCAGTAGATACATGAAGTTAATCAATTTAGTGGTATATTCGTGGCTGTAATACCTTACTAAATAATAGCTGTTGCCTCTTATGAAGATTGGGGCTGTACATCTAGGTTAGATTTTTTTCTTCAAACTAACAAGCAGGCAGTCGATCATTATAGAATACTTTTTAGAAGATTTGAATTGTTTGTTGAGTTTGTGTTTGTTCGTTTGGTTGATGCGTTTTTGTACAGAAAAATTTGAAAGAAAGGTGATAGTGGACAGGGCGAGAAGCGGGGAGGGGAGAAGCCATCTTTCCGTGTTTGTATTCTGTTACAATAATGAGACCATATATTCACCCAATCAATGCTCTCCACGTGATGGTGCTCGTATTAGATCTCTCAAGCGATCAAGTTGTTGAATTTCATTAGTGAGGTCATGCTCGACGCACTTTTTCCGAGCTTTGTGTTCAAGTTTAGTCGCTCTTCCTATATCGCCTTCCCGATAAGCGAGCAGTGATTGGCTATAAGTGTAATAGATCTTACTTCGTTCAGACATCGTCTCAATCTGCCGTTCAATGTTATTCAAGACAGTCTTTGCGATGTCTATATCTGAGCTTGAAACTTCCTCTAAGATGCCGTGTTGATAAAAGCCCAAATGGACGAGAGCCTTGCGCAGTGTCACTTGTACAACTGTGTTGCTCTTATTGACTGTGGCCTTCTCGCAATACTCGATTGATTTATCTAAGTGTAGCAGAATATTCTGCTGGTCTTCTTTGCTGTTTCGGTTGCTTGACAAAATAATATTTGCTTTAGCGTTGTTGACCTCAGCAGTGTCTTCATGGCACTCCCCAAGACTTAGCATATGCTCTGCTTCGTCCACCTCTCTTAAAGCTTTGTCGTCTTGGCCCTTGTCATGTAGCAGATACGATTTCCGTATCTTTATCCTCGCATGTATCCAAACCCTGAATATGAAAAAGAAAAGTGTGAACGCAAAGTAAACTGAACCAAAATTATCGAACGTGATTAGTTATCAATTGCCTGACTTTTTCTAAAATCATACTCGTGATGAACAAATTGCACTTCCGCTCTGGAGGTTATACGATTTTGTTTATCACTTGTATGATTACGCAAGTCTCGAGGCCTCTCTTTTACGGCCAACGGTTAAAATTTTGACCATTTTACGGCTAACAGTTAATTTCTTTCCGTCAAAGTTAACAAAAAAATATCTACAGTTTAATTTTGTTTATGACCAAAAGTTAACCCCATTGAGACCCTCGATTACAGACTGAACTGGACTCTACTCGGTCGTACACGCATTATTAGTCACCCTATCTTAACACCCTTCTTTTATTTCTGTCAACCTTTACGACCAGTCATTATTAAGAAACAGCCCCAGATTACGAGCAAAATTTCCTTCTTCGTTAGATTTCATTCCCGAGCTCTCAGTTCACCTTTTGCGGCTGAGCTTTGGTTCTGTTTCCAGGCTGATTTTGTTCCCGTTTTCCCTCAAGTTTCGGTTTCGATTTCCGGATTTCGAATTATTTCCTCACTACTGTTAAAACAAATGTTACATTGAACCTACCCGTTGTTTGCCAGAAGAGCGTTAGGAACCAGACCATTAAGCACTTCTAATGCTTCATCTTTTCTAGAACGATGGCTTAGGGCAGCTGCGTGCTGGATGCCAGCCAAAATCTTCAAATCCAGGTCACTAGTAAATCCCTTCAGAAACGTCTCCAATTCATCCCAGCGTAAATTGAACGACAGAGAATTAGACTTGTTTATCATTTTAATGTATCGGCTACTTTGGAAAATCTCCGGTTTTGTGCGTGAAGGCACCAGGTCAACACTAACATTCACATGACGTTGTATTCTTGCCACGCGAGTTTGTATTTTCGAAATGATCTCATTATTCCCGGACGCTCGAGAACTTCCGGCTGCGTTCGATGGTGTATGATCGTTTCCCCCAACTGGCTGGATCTTCATTTTGTTTTCCAACCTTTCGAGATCTTTTTCTAAGTAGAGGAGGCTGTTGTTGTCGTCCTTTAACCACTGTTTATATCGCTCGAGATCCTCGGTTCGGAATTCTATCTCAGTCTCCAAGGTTTGTAGTTTTCCAACAAGAGGATGTGAAGTTCTCAGTAGATCTCCAACAGCCCGAGTCAGAGTATCGATGTTTCTATGGAATCTTCTTCGAGAAAGATATGCTTTACTGGCATGGGCTATGACCTCGTTTCTTACTTCTTTTAGCCTATAGATAGCGTTTCCAATCCTTCTACCGTAGTGACTCCAACGGCTTGAGGCCAAAGCGTGCGAGAACTTCAGAGCAAAAACTAACTTGGTAACGTCCCATTCTTCTACGTCTCCAGAAGACAAATGATCCCTGATCGGCTGATACTCCGCGCTGTACGCTGGATCATAGAGCCGGGATCCCGGTGCTCGCCTTTCCTCCGCTAAAATCTGCGCGCCACTAGTGTGGTCATCTCGCCACGGAGTGGCAGGATAAAGATAATTCCATTCTTGTTTGAAAACTATCCTCAATGCTTCGGTCGAATAATCCACTACACCCTTAGTAAGTCTAAAAAATCGGAGTTCTCCGTCGCTGTAAATGGTCGCCATTTTGTAGCAAAATTCAAGAATGAATATTTATATCAAAATCAACAAATTGATACCAAATTCCAATCCAATCGCTCTGACGAAGGGCTAACGCTCGAAACGTCAGCATTTTTGCTCTTTACAGCAGCCAATTTACGTTTTCAACTCAGTTGTTTACACTAAATTACCTGATACCAAATTCAACGATTTTCTCTCAACATCAACGCCATCAACTTGCCACTTTCAACGTTGTATTAACTCTTAAATCAACAGAGAAAATCGCCTCAACAAAAGTTTCTTTTGCTTTGTGATCAACTCTATCTAACTGCTTTCAAGATCAACAATTCCGAATGTCTCCTATTACCGAGACGGACTGGAAACTACTACATGTATCTCTAAACAAGCAAGATGGCGGACCGCAGCGAAGAAGGTGAACAAAATGGTGTAAACACATGGGTAAATAGCCAATGGAATTAATTTTTTACCGATTAAGCGGAGCTTTTGAGTGAATATGTACAAAAAAAGTAAACGAATGACGTTGTTTTAGGGGAAAGCTTACGTATTCGTTTGGAAAATGCAGTGAAAGCTTTGCAAAATTAAAACCCGTTTGTGTAAGAGTCTAATAGGAAATCAGTTCTCGAAATGACCAGGAATTTCCAGGTGATATTTTGGGACTGCTATCGTGGGTTTCAATTTCCAAGCAGAACAAGGTGCTCACAAGTGGCCGTTTTGGCATTGTGTTCACCAAATAGAGTAAATATGGACATACTGGATGACCAAAGTTTGACCTAAAGGAAGAAACATTGGTCGAGCTCCGCTCGCTGGGCTTCAGTTGAGAAGATATAACGCGTATGTTACTTGTTTCACGCTGGAATATTCACCGCAGAGTATCAGAGTTTGACCTTAACCACCTTCCACGCTTTAGTGACATCACTGATGGTCAACTGGACAGCAAAGTCAGCACCTTCCTGAGGGAACATGGCTGCTTAGTTGGATCTTCTATGGTTTTGGGCCATTTGAGATCTGAGAGGTTAATTGTACAGCATTGAACAGCTTACATTGGGGGACAAGAGTCATCTTATGATGATTTTATATGGTATGGCTATGACCCATCAGTACCTACCCCCATGGATGATGGATTGTCCACAATTGAGGTTGAGGATGTAAACATTGAACTTCCAGGAAATGTCACACAGGATCTTACAGCAGCTGTTAACCCACTTCAGCTATCAAACAGATATGGAATAGATCTATTCATTGACTGTCTTAACATTTTGCAATCAAATGCCTAGCTGAACTGTGAACGAAATCCAAATGCCTTAGTTGTCTTATGGACCTCGATACAAATTGGCTTCTCAAATGAAACAAGTGAAAGTGAAACAAATGCAGTTCAAATTTTGTTAAAAGTAGCAATTAATAGTATTGGAAATAAGTCAACTGAGACATACTTTAGTTTTCAATAATGCAAAGCATAACTCTGTGAACAACTATTGGGAGAACTTGTAATCTGATCGGCCACAAGGGCTTTCAATTTTTTGATAGACTTTTCTGGAAGTGCATGAAATTAAAATGTCCATAATCACAGACCAAGGTTATAATATCAATGAGGCACTTTTGATGAACTTTTCATTGAACAGATTGTTATTTGGGTTAGGCTGAAATAGTAGTTGGATGGTTCACTCATGGTATCCATTGACTTCTGATAGTTGACTTGTGGCTGTGCCCCTTGCCAACTACAGGTATCAGAGGAAAGAAACCTCTACCTTGCCATCTAGTTGTAAAGACATCATTAAGTTAAGAGATGGCTGGTCACTTTTTTTCAACTTTCAAATTTTTATTTTGAATCTCAAAGTATTTGTTGACATTGTTGAACATTAAGTTTGTCTAACACAAGTTCTGTGATAACTATCAAGAAAATTACAAATACAAGTTATTCTAAACAAAACAGTTTAACAATTTGTATTTTCATACTTGAGGATGATTATTTTTCTTATTGCCTAAATTTTTTTCAACAATTGCCACTGGGGTATGGAATTAAGTTGACTAATAACCTGTATGTCTGTTTTTCTTTCAAGGTTAGTCAAAATCCACAAGACTTGTATAAAACTTGTGCATCCTGGTCACAAGAATACTGAAAATACAGGCAATTTAGTACAAAATCATTGCTTAGGCTGTTGTAAATGATGACCATTGATAACAGTTCTCATAGCTAAGTCAAAACCTGGATAATTTTGGAAATACTTTGGAAATTGAGCTCGAGAAGACATGCTGATGAGAAAATACTGTCACAACTATAAAATTATGCTGATATGCTATGCGGAAAAGTGGACATTAAAACTTCAGATGCACCTGTGACAAACCTAAGAAACTTCTTCAAATCATCTACAGATAGAGTTGTTATGGAAGTCTTTAGCATTTGGTACACACAGTCATCCCTCCATCCTCATCAGATGAATCTTGAAAGTGCAGACAGCTGATTACAAAATCAATGGTTAGTACACCCTGACATACAAAAGATTCTTCAAATAATCCTGGATTATGTTCCATCTCTGCCAAAATGCCTAGGGTGGAGAGACCTTTCCTGAACTGATCAAGGATAGACTTTCTTTTTACAAGAATGTCATGAAGCAATAGTTACTGCAGTACATCTAGCTTAATTTCGGGCTGCAAATGTAAAGGAATTTCATAGTAAGTTGGAAGATTTTCCAAAATCTAACAAAGTATGATAAGCACTTGAACTAGTACTGAGATGTACATTTAGATCTACCTATTGTCAAAGGTGGTGAGAATACATGAATATCATTTTAGGAACAAATTCTTTTTTGTTCTGATTTACATTAACATTAATATGATATACTTAGGATGACTTACAGTAAAAAACTCTGATTTCCCTAGCCTCACACATTAGTTGCACAACCTAGCCCCCTATCAGATGCATCTAATATCTACAAGAAAAGGGGAAAGGAATTTTTGCAGTCATCCTTAAAAAATAAATTCTTAGGATTGCTGAAAGGACAGGGAAAGTTGGAAAACAACTTTTAAGCAGCAAAACATGGAACTATTGCATAATTTATAAAAGTCTACATGAAATACTGTAATATGAAAATAATACTGTAGATTCAAAATCGTGTAATGTGAGAAAATCGTATATAAGCAATATTACAGACATTTTGCTACTATCCATATTTTGCCATGTTTTTTTCCCAAAAAGATCAATTTATGTACATCAAACAATACAATGATCAATAACTATTTCAAGATAACATTAACACAAGTAAAGGAAACAAAGCACAAATAATGTAATCTTAATTATCAAATATGAACTTTTTACTGAATGCAAAAGTACTCTTTCAACATTCAGTAGCAAAATTCATCTGATGTATTCAGTCAACACAGAAGAGGTCGATGGGTAACATTCCTTTCATTTATGGTTGTTTACCTTATCTATGCATGTGAGCAACGCCTTGTTGCTAACATCAGCACAAGATGCTTTGGACAAGTCCCCAGTTGCCAAGTACCAGTAAACTGTTGGTGACAAGTAAGTAAACCCAGGTCCACCCTGGGAAATAATTCTCCCTAAAACTTCAAAGAAACCGTTGACGACAAGCTCATTGCTGAACACTGGTACTTTTCTGTATACTTCTCCAATGAATATATGTTGTATACCTTCATTGTTATCCAACACTGAAAAGACTTCACTTAACACTTGTCTCAGTACGAGGCTGCTTCATTCTCTCAAAAAAGATCTTTATCTGGATATCATCTGCACGAAGCTGCCACGCTGTTCCTGTAGCTTGCTGCCGAAGGAACTGTGTGATTACTATCGGCAAGAAAAAAGAAAAAATCGGCCGAGCAATTCGGACTCCCTCAAGAAATTTTTAGGGAGTAAGGAATAATCTCCCTCGTTTATTCCAACAGTTTATTTCTTCCCGTTGAAACACAGGCTCCATTTCCATTACAAGTCGCAGGTGGGGAAATGAGGCCGCGCCTACCAGGCCAAACCCGAAAAAAAAAGCGGATATCAAGCAAAACGCTATAACATGTTGGGTAAAACAAACTAATTTTAGAAAAAGATTAGTACTTTCTCAGTAATGACCCAGTAATTCCAATCAGTTTTTCTCCTGCTCGCAACATACCCGAATTTTACTCGAAGCGTTCATTCTGTTCATATCTCGCTTACAACCTTGGTTAAGCCCACTTCTTTGACTCATGACGCGACCTTCCAAAATTACAGCTATAGCTACTATCTATGCCGATATATATTGTGACATTTTTGACAGTACACGAAATCATTTTGTGTGGAGAATATCAGAATGGAGGTTATCTTTTCGAAATTCACAAAACCAACACCTAGCCTCCGATTGGTTGTCTCAACAAGAAAGAGAAACCAACAAAATGATAATGGTTTACTTCGCTATTACGCTGAACTAAGGAAGATGACGCAGGAAGATATATCCAACTAAATTGATAATTTAAATTAAGAGTTCAAGTCTTGATGGGCTCTTGAACCTCACAATCAAAGCCCACTCCGCCGCTTCGCCCCACCCCCCTCTCCCCATCCCGCCCCCATAAAGATACCAGAATCATAAGACAAGCCAAGAGAATATTCTCTTGGACAAACTTGTGAGGAGCACCCACGAAAATAACATGGAGAAAATATAACTACGAAATTTTCCATGCAGCATTTAGGTCGGATATAAATTGTACACCTCCGGGTAACCACTAACCCGACAACTCAACGGTTACCTATAGTCGGAACGAAAAACGAAAGTTAATACATTTGGACGTATTTAATCTTTCGTCAACATAATGGCTTTCACCTCTCCCATCCCACTCAACTCTACCCTGTTTATAGGGTAGTTTAATCTGATCTAGGAACATGTTCATTTTCTCAAATTAACGAAGATGCGGTTCTGTAATCCTCTAATAATCAATCAAGCGACCTAACAATGTTATAGGTGAAATGCCGTTGGTGCAGTGTCATAGTATGTCTAACAAAAAAAAACGCGATATTTTTGGTGTTTCTTTCATCGTAAAAGGATAAATTTAGGTTAGTTGACACTAGGATCCACGCGGCGAAGTCTGTAAACAAGTCTAAAATAGGGAAGATGAAATAAGAAGATAGATCCAAATAGATCATGTGATGAATTAAATTAGTAGTTCAGGTCATGTTATGCTGTGGGGCCACACAACCAAGCCCCCCACCCCGCCTCTCTCCTCCCTATAAAAGGCTACCAGAATCATATGACAAACTTGTGAGCATCCGTACCCACGAAATTGGAAACAGCATGAAGAAAATTTGTCTGTACCATCACGTAATGAGTAGGAAAACAAGTCGACTCTGCGAATACTGCCATTGCACGAGAAATACCCGACCACAACGCGGACTCTAGGAAAAAACTGACGGAAAGAAAAGTTTCCAAATCTATATATATTCAAGTCTGAAGTAGGGCAGATGAAAGCGGAAGATAGATCCAGCTAAACTGATGAGTTAGATTAGGATTTCAGATCATATTAGGTCATAATATGCTGTTGGGCCATACAACCAAACCCTCCCCCACCCCACCTCCCCCCACCCTCATAAAAAGCTAACAGAATCATGATAAACTTATGAGGTGCACCCAAGAAAATTGCGTGGAGAAAATTTGCCTTAAACTTGTTTTTACTGTCGAATGATACCTAAGAAAACAGGTTAACTTGCGAATATTGTCATTTCCCAAACAAACCCGACGAGAACGTGGCCTCTGGAAGAAAACTTACGTAAATAACGGTCACGGGTTTCCAAACCTATTTACATTCCCGTCACTGATTGCGTTTTACTAGATTGTTAACAACAATATTAACATGCACATAAATTGTCACCACCCGTCTATAGCGTTCCTGGACGGAAAAAAGAAAAAAAATTCAAAGATTACTTACGTAACAATATAACCTTTGAAAAGGAAAAACGTCTTTATCTGTCTTGACCCATGAATTTTTACCGAAAAAAATCACTCACTCGTGAAACGGTTTGTTTAGCACAATATATGTCAGTATCCAAATACAGCGATTGTAAACTAGGGCCAGAGCAAAGTGATGCCAGTTTCACAGCCATCTACTGAAATAAAGGCAAAAAAGTAGAACTAGCCTAAAATGATGTTAGAAATTGAGAAACCAAAGAGTCATTACGTAAAAGAGGCGAGAACAAGTCCTAATAAATCTCACATGATTTAAACGAAATATTTCCACAAACCACAATGACGATGATGCAATATCCTGTCGACGCCTCCAATCACGCCCACTTCGATCCACCAATCAAACATTTTGGCAATAAATGTGAAGTGAACAAAGAAAGTCTTGGACTTTGGCCATTAAGCCGCCTCACGAATAGTTATAAAGGGTTTTATGGAGAGGATAGAAAGGTAGAACACTGTATTTGCCTGGGTACACAGAAGGCTAGCCCTATTCTGTTTCGAAGGGTCGCCCAACGTAAACGTGGAACAAATATTGTGATTCAACAAAATACTTTAATACCTCTTGGTCACGCTACCGCTTATTTACAATGCGCAAATCAGCGATCTCTAAATTGTTTCGTGCTTTACCGGTCGCAAAGGAAACAAACTTCACCTCTAACTCTGTTACAACGAGTTTGTGACCTTGGAGAATTGCCACGAGCAGAGAGAACCATTTCGATTTTGACACTTTCCTCGATCTTCCGTGCGTTCTCTCGCTTTCGCTTAAAATTTCAGGTAGTCTTCTGCTGTAAACCATAAAGATGCATAGCAAACCAGGACAGAAAGAACCTAGCATCTCGATTAAGTTCGTAAGCGCCGGATTAGCTGCTTCAGTGGCTGAAGCCGTCACAATACCGATCGACACAGCGAAAGTTCGACTTCAGGTAAGTGACTTTTAAAACAAATCGCACGTTGTTGGTTTTTTAGGATTGAAAACAGAACATGTCAAAATGAGACGCCTTTATGATTGGTATTTTACACTTATGAACACTATTTTTAAGCAATTAGAAGTTTCCAGTCATTAAAATAATATATTGTAATAATATATCTTCTGCTACCAAGCGAGGTCAACACACCCGACATGAAAGCTGGTCTAGTTATAAATTTTAACCTGATCAATAGCCATCGCTTGATCGTCAATCGACTTGCATTGATAGTCACCTTCGTAAAGTTTAAGTTAAAGTAATTGCAAAATAAGCGATGAATTTTTATAAATGTTTCTTAAATACAATGCTTTCAAATCGATGTGTTCTAGTTAAATACTGGTGATGCAATGCCATGTGGAATAAGAATCTCGAAATTTCCGCGTAGCCCTATCCTACATTATGCATTCAGTTCTTGGATAGAGAAAACAATGACAAAAAAAATACATTGCCATCGAGAAAACAGATTTGTTTTACAACAGTATGGGGCTGTGCGGAAATTTTAACAGAACCTCTAACGTAATGAGACAGTCAGTGTGACGTGTCGCTCGCATTACAACCTGCAGACGGCAATCACGTTTCTTGTTTCGAAAACAACATTTCCCTTACGCCTTTTGTCGTTTAAAAGAAATCCATACAATGGTTTAATAGTTAAGATCAACGGGACGAAGTTTCCTTTTATGGTGGTGCGTAGCAGCGGGAGGAAGTGATTATAATTTTTTTGACAACTTGTTTATAACAACCAAGTGTGCAATCCCACGAGACAAAAGCGGACATTTATCATTCAAAACAACTTCTCCATAAGCCTTGATTATAACACTAACGGAAGACATAAGATTTCCAAGATCTGATCTCTAACTCACCCTTCTGTTTCGGTTTTCAGTTCTTTTTAATTAGTTAATCCTTTCAATCCCAGGAGTGCCCAGAGATTAATTTCCCCTCGCGATATCATATTACATACATGACCGAGCAGAACGGTGTTGAGAAGAAGGAAAAATAACAAGTAGAAAATACAGTTATATTTCAACACCAAATCCTAAGATCTAAAGGTAAAAGAGATGCATGGTAGACAGTGAGAAAAAAATATTTTGAGTTCTTGCAAGTGAAAGGGGTTTAAAAGAAGTTAGTATTGAAGTTTACCCCCCCCTTAACATCCTCCAAAAGTCATTGGTAAGAAGACCTGAAAATGAGTTTTTTTGTGGACAGCAATTTATACATTTCAACAATTTGAAAGCAAGTAATCATCACTGATGACTAGGTCTTTCTTAAGAAGTGAAAAGAAGGCCTGATCTTTCCACAGATATCTTCAATAAATTATTTCACTTCTTTGCAGATCCAGGGTGAAAATGCTGTCTTGGCAAATGTTCAAAATGGCGTAGCAACAGCAAATTCTAATGTCCAATATCGAGGAATGATAGGGTCCATGATAACTGTGGCAAAAACTGATGGTTTTCGCTCGCTGTACAAAGGGCTTGTGCCTGGAATTCACCGCCAACTTTGTTTTGCTAGCATTAGAATAGGACTCTATGACACAGTCAAAAAATTCTATGGAGATGATGATGTCAACAATCCTAAAGTCATAAAGAAGATCCTAGCCAGTTGCACAACAGGAGTGTTAGCTGTATCTGTTGCTCAACCAACAGAAGTTGCTAAAGTAAGGTTTCAGGCCGATGGTTCAAGATTTGGGTCTAGCAAGGCCTTAGATGCTTATATATCAATATTCAAAAATGAAGGACTCCGAGGACTATGGAAAGGTGCCTTTGCAAATATGGCACGCCTTTCCACTGTGAATGCTTCAGAACTGGTTGTGTATGACATGGTAAAAGGATTCTTTCTGAGAAAGAAACTCATGGATGATGAATTCCCTCTGCATTTTGTTTCTGCCTTTGGTGCTGGCTTTGCTACCACAGTGATAGCATCTCCTGTAGATGTGGTGAAGACACGTTACATGAATTCCCCACAAAATACTTACAAGAGTGCCATCCACTGCGCCTATATGCTGCTGAAACACAATGGGCCTCTAGCTTATTATAAAGGGTATGTTGTGCTGAAATTTGTCTCTAATACAACAATGACGTTTTTATTAGTATCCAACTGCACCAAGTTGAGTACAAATAATGCTTGAATTGATTACAAATATCCTGTGATATTGGACAGTTGCTTATTTTGTACAACAAAAAAAACTGTTTAACTGGTCAGCTGCACACACTATGTTGTTCTACCTGCTTCACTTTTTCCACTTTTTAAGAAATTTGCATGAAATAAAGCAATTGGTTAATGATTAACTTGTTAGATTTTTAATGTGTATTTTTACTCTTTGTTGGTATTATAACTCACCCTGCAGGGGGTTGTCAAAATAAGGCAAAACTTGTGAAAATATGTAGTGATAGTACACACTTACTGAAAATCTAATATGTTTAATTTATTTCACACCCAGTCTCTAATATCCCTTCACTCATTCATCAGACTGAAATTTCTGGCCAAGCACCTTAAAATGATACATTTGTTGACAGTTCCCCAAGAGTTATAATCTTATTAGCAAGATATAACATTCAGAAACATGTAGAATTTCAGAGCTTAATTTGGTCAGAGATGTCAGTGTCTAACCACACTTGACCATGGTATTACTTTATGTGATTTTATACATCATTTGAGAGAGAGGCCAGATTTTCAATATGAAATGTGGTAGCAAGAGAAAAGCATAACAGCAAGATACTACATGTGGCTTTATATCTGAAAAAAAAAAATTGGCTCACATCATTAAAAAATAGTCAAAGAATGCTGTGTAGTAGCCACGCCCCAGTTGTTCAAAGTTTGGATAACTCTATAACCCTATCCACTGGATAAAACCCTATACAAAGGATAATGCTATCTGTTTTGCTATCAAGTATCCACAAGTTAGCAATTTATCTGTTAAATAGCATTATGCGACCTTTATACAACTGGACCCAGATAATTATCCTATCTCAGATGGCCAATGAACAACCTGCAAAAGGAGGTTGCAACTAGTGGGGAGAGTTGCAAATCAGATCATGGGATTTAACAAGTTAACATATATTTAAATTTACTTCTTTGTCTTAAACCATAGAAGGAACAACAATCACAATGGAGTGAAGCTAAAAGTTCTAATGTCCCATTAATAATTACTAGGCTAATCAATCATTATGACTTTATTAAATATGAGTTTTTCCTTATTTCTCTTTTATTTTATTTCAGGTTCACACCAAACTTCACGAGGCTGGGATTATGGAATATTGTTATGTTTATGTGCTATGAACAGTTGAAGAGGCTGTTTAGTTCTTTCTCTTCAGAACACTGATGATGGCTTTTTTCTATTTAAACTGGATACATATTTATTATGTATTTCTATGTTTTTCATTGGTGTCATAAACGCATTTTGATCATTTTGCGCTTGCTTAATGAATCTTCAGGATTCCGATTTTGAGCATAATAGGAAAGGGGATTGGGTGTGCTATATGGCAATAATTTAGTGAAATTGCATCATTTAAATTGAGCAATGATTTTGACTCTAATAGAGTTTGATGCCGACTTTAATTTGCAACTAGTGCAAAGATGGGGATGCAGCAGATCAATTACATGTACTTGCACCAAGGGATGTAATATCGATTTCTTGCTCATTTGCAAAGGAGCAAAATGAAACACATGGACACAGACGTGAACATGTTGAATTAATGACAAGTTGCAATGAATGGGTTGGTTTCAATCCAGAAAGTGTTGCAAAGGCACATTATGTTAAGGTATTTTAAATACATTTTAAGAGAAGGCTTCCAAGTCACAAAATTCTTCAAAAGTTTAAGTAAGAAATTTGCAGAATATTTTCTGTAACGTCAATTTCAATGAATTTGCAAATCAGAGACAAAAAATTATGACTTAAACTCCCAACAAACATCTTGTTCATTGATTTCCATTATTGGTTATATAAAAAGTTGATCTGCATCCTCAACCAATCAATTTGATTCAAACAATGATATTAGCAAATGTAGTAAAAAGGGTGGCATGTGTTTAAATACTGAAACTTGATCAGTACATTCAAGTAATGTACTGTTAGTATGTTATAGGTGTACTTCTATTTAGTCACCAAGTTTGCTTTTCAATCCCTTTATTATGATTTACGGCTTTTAGATTAGGAAGCAATAGCATAAGTAATTAAAAAGGTCAATAACAGTCAGTTGGCTGCCAACTATGAACTACAACCTGCACTTTGAAATTAGCATAGGTTTGATTATATTTGATTTACTTTATATATGTTAACCAAGTTGACATTGTCATCCCTCTTAAAGTAATACTGATACTGTTACATTTCTTTCAAGATATGCTGGAAACTATGCAACACAAATGAGCAACAGTTGCCTGTTCTTGAATGCTAAATGAATACAAGTGAAAGCTCTCTCACAATCAGAATTGTTGTAAAATTTAATAACCATATATAAGCCTTTGTTAGGAGTTTGAGTAATTTTTTTGACACATATGAACAGACAATACATTAACTTCTTCATATTTTATCCAAGTGGCCTTAAATCTGTGGATAACCAATTCCTATTTTAAAATCAAGGGTCAATTAGATACAAGGAGAAAAAGAATATTGTGAAGCACAGCAAGTGTCAACTATTTTTACAATCAGTTTAAACGCATGCAATATAGTATAATATATTGTGGGTGTAATTTTATTCAGTCATCAGCTTTGCTTTTCAAAATCAAGGGTCAAGTAAATACAAGGGATGTTCAAATAAAATTTTGCAAAGCACAGCAAGTGTCAATTATTTTTACAATCAGTGTAAAGGCATATAACATAACTGTCTTTACTGGACAATGTATACAGGTGAAACTAATTTTATTTTACTCAACGTCTCGCATAGCTAATCTTGAGCCTTGAATCATTAGTGGAGTGAAACATTTTGATCCAAAGCTTAAAGCTCTTAAGTCAAGTCTTGATGTCCAACCTCACCCCGGTTCTTTGGAAATTAATGTCATGGCTTTTTCATTAGGTTTAAATGATAAATTATCTGTCCATACCTCTAGTCCATTGATATGTTATTTATCTTGTAAGCTCAACATGAGGGAGTAGTCACTCTTCCGGCGTCGACATAATCTGGACCGGACCAGGTCGCATCACGGTCCGGGTCACGGACCAAATCACGAATCGGATAGAAATGTTGCGTGACAGGCCAAGATAAAGTATGCATGATATAATGAAGCGCAGGCCCCACTGGAAGTTTTTTTGCCCCAAAACCCCATGTAGTCACTTAAACGGCTGTGTCGAGGAGTCTCGTGTAGTGCCACCATGGACGAAGGCAAGCGAGAGGTACGTATCATTTCATTAGTCAATCACTATTGTTTTTTTAATATCATGAATATATGCTACTTTTCCTTTATCAATGTCATTTAGCTTACGCGAAAGAATAGGCGGGGTGAGGAGCAAGATTGTTCTAGAAATAAGTACTGAACTGCACGTAAGCGCTTCAAGTAGTCCATGGAAGTGACCACATGGGGTTTTGGGGCAAAAAAACTTCCAGTTGGGCCTACGGTCCGTCATGTCAATAACCTATTTTAGTTTTTTTTACTATTTTTTTTTTAAGTATTATTATTTTATAGACTATTTGACTTTTTTTCTTCCTTTTTCTATTCGATCCGTGATCTGATCCGTGATCCGATCCGCGATCCGATCCATCATCCGATCCGTCATCCGTGATCCGATCCGGCCCGATCCAGATTTTATCGACGCCGTCACTCCTCTTCCAGCCCAAGAAAATCAACTGTGCAAATTTTTTTTTCAAACTCTAATTTTTCCCAATTATACCCCACCGCTGTTTCCCAATAAAGAAAATAGCTCGTGGTCTGGTAAGCCATCATATTAACTAGCACACGCAGCAAACGATGTACTGATTTATAATCACGTAAAAAATTCCTGAAAACTTTTGCTGTAAAAGTAAAATACCGGTATATCTTTCTTACCACTAATATCAGCATGACGATTTAGGACCCCAAATTTAAATACAAATTCTTCTTATTTTAGGTAAATTCAACCCACTCTAAATACACTTTTAAATTAAACTTATACTTCAAATCTAAAAACATACCTAAAAGATGGTCGCCATTAATAATTATCTAATAATTACGCTTTCTCTTTTACTCACAAATTCACAACTTTGTTCAATGAATAATAAAGTAACACGGTCTTCTGAAAGATATTAGTAGTCTATATCTACCTGAATGGCACTTCCCTCGTAGAATGACCGCAGCTCAACTAAAGTTCTCTTATCTATTTTAAGATAGTTTTTTACTTCATCGATGTGACCCATAACCCGCCTCTCGTGATCCGTGACCCGTGACGTGCGTTTCAGACCTGCTGTATTCACATCCTGTTTACTTTGCTTACAATAAAATAATTATATTCGTTATTTAACAAAATTTATTCGACAACTTCACAAGAAAAGTTTCATTTATCTCATCATATTTTTCGTGATTTTTAACTTTTTATCTATTCTTTTTTTACTGATCAGTATATCTATTTTTATGCGATAATAATTTGATAGTTTTGGATATCCTTCTAAAAGTGGGCGTTGCACGTGGGAAAATGAAGACGAAATAACAGAGCCTGTAAACACAATAACTTAGGACATCATTGAAAAAACACCTGCGCTCATCTGACAAATAGAATGTTATTCTAAAAGGAGCTTACGACCAGTGGCAGGTTTCTTTACAGTTTTCTTTTTTGAAGGGCTCAAAATTTTTATCCGATTTCCTTGAAAACTAGTCATACGTTTCGAACATTTTTACAAATTGAAAGTCTGAGCTGTGGATGAAATTATATTGCCAATGATAATCTTCCTCATTAATTCAATTTGACATCTTAAGTCCTGTTTTTAACAGTATGTAAATTTTTTTAGCAGCTATGAAATTCTAATTGTTTTTGGTTTAGGAATTAGGTCAGATTTATCCACAAAAGGCCCTGTTTCACGCATAAAGATTACCTGCTAAATCTCGCTGACATTGAGATTAGCTTTACGCCCCTTGATGCAAGAAACGTATATATCTGATTGAGACTCTGAAATAAAAAGGAAGAAAGTGGATTCGTATGGCTTTATTTTAGATTGAACAAAGTAAGGTTATCCGCTGTAGCTTATCTAACTGAAGCTCTTAGCCATTAAAGAATTCTTAAATATTATGTTTTTTTAATCAGTATGTTAGCTAACTTCGAACAGCCCCTCGAACTTAATTTAAAATATTTTATTTTTGATTTTCTGCGTACATCTCCTATAAGGAAGTAAACTTCGTTTAAATATTAGCAGGAAAATCTACTAAACGATCGGATGAATATGTTTCCAAAAGCCCTGCCTTTTTACGAGGAATGACTGAGGGACTAGGAAACAAACATCGGAAGTTCTCTGAAATAAGTGCCAGTTTGCCTTCTCCTTTTTCTGCTTTCATCCAGCACGCAGAATTCAGGCAATATAATAATCGAAGGAAGCATTGATTTTCTACGTTGTTTAGTTTTTAGAGCTTCCTCAGTTTAGTTCCGTTTGGTAAGATCCGAACACGAAGATCTTCGTTGTTTCCCCATGACTTCTTTGATGTTTACAGCATTACGACTGTACTTCAACGGTTGACTAAGCGAAATGCCAAACAAACTGCAAAAGTTGCTTTGCTCGGCACTGATGGCGCTTCTTGGTCTTTGCGCTGTAAGTGCTGAGTTTAAATTTCCATCATCCTTGCCTGGGACAACAAGCTCTTTAACGTGCAGTGTAAATCCTCTCTCGCGAGGATTTCCTCGGCTCAGCACACTCAGTCCGACTGTGTTTGTTGTAGAATTTGGAGAAGGTGACGTTTTCAAATTAGCATCTACCACCTTCCCAGTCTCACTTTTGCCATATAATTCATATCTATTTGGTTTCGCATTTTCCGTGGTCATCTGCACTTTGCATCCCGTCGTGTTTTTGTCATCTTTTTCTGAGTTCATTTCGTGATTTCTGTTGAATTTAATTAACGAACAGTCCGAAAAATGAAAGCAGTTTTCCTTCGGACAATAAAGTCAGGCGACAAGTGAAAGACGAAGCTACAACTTTAAGTTAAAACAAAGAGTAACGGTGATTCAATCCAACGAAGATTCGCTAGTTGTTACAAGGCCTGCGTCACGCAGAATCTCGCACAATAACACTCAAGTTGCTAGAAATTTCCCCGGTGATAAGACAATTACCAGATATCCCGCGTTTCCCTGTTGAGATGACTCCTTTACCCGGTAATTACCTTTCAAATTTAACTCGACTTCAGAAGGACCTCAACTCTGTGGCCACGTTCCATTTTTGTAAACAAATGATCCCGGGAAGCGTACTGTTTACGTTTTTAACTGCGTTCACACAAAGCTGATTTGCTCTGTCAAAGTGATAGTATAATAGAGAAAAAAACCCTTTCTTCACCCTGAGCGCAGCCAACGTGACGTCACAAGAGCAGGTGTAATATAAACGCGCGCCACCCAGTTCCTCATTTTTCGCCGGAACTTTATCTTATTTCAAAAAAGAAAATGAAGGGAACATCCAACACTGTTACATGGATTAAAAACAAAACCAATAGACCTCAAACTCATGTCAACGATTCCATTCAAAATTTAGCTTGAATATAAAACCTAGCATCAATTATCATTTCCCCTTTGAATTTTGAACGAGCCCTCTCAGTCATTAGTCAATTCCTACGCATGGGCACACATCTAAATTCCAGATAACTTTAAGCAAAGAATAAATTGCAAAAAATTGAAAAAAGGAGGAACCGTACCTATAAGTTTAAACGCAGATCTGAGTTTCTTCGCGTCTGCGGTTATACACAAGATAAGCTAATCATACTCACATTTTGATAGGTTCTTGAATTTGTGTTCCCTGCTCATTCAGTCAAGAAACTATGATGTCGATTAGATTAAACAGATAATACTATAAAATTACATTAATTCCCTTGCTTAAAATGAACACTATCAGCCGCCTTGGTCATCGGAATTTGGACAGGGTTCCCACTGTACATATCTTGACTAAATGTATAAAATTTCAGGTATGTTCACGTTCTAAGCACTTGGTTCATCAAGGAACTGCCTTCTTGTCCGATCTTTTGCAAAGACTTTGCTAGATGTCAGCCTAATACAGCTATTCACAAACAATTTCGATCTAATCTGAAATTAGATGTGTATAAAAATGTATCTACATATATCCATACTTTGGCAAGAGGGTGGGATTCATTACCTCTAACAAAACTGTGCCCTAGTTAGACTTCCCCACTAACTCATGAAGATGAAGTTTTAAGTTAAAAAAAATAATTTTAATGCAAATCAATCCCACATCTGCTCCAAGGAATCCCAAAGCAAAACATAGTAAATACAAAAAAATAATAATAAAGAGTTGAAATATCTATTTATTTTAATTTAGTCAAAAAACTAACATCAATGCTCCTTTGCATCACAATACTCCAATCAACTGATGCAATAATTTTCCACAGGAAAACCTCTAACACTTCTCTGCAAAAATTCATTTGTATAGAAGCTACAATTCTATGTCACACAACTCCAATATCTTCCTTTAAGTTAATACATAATTGTTATTAGAGCTTTAAGATACATCTTAAAAACTTCAGCAGTTTGAAAACTTTTGCCAACTTTAAATATCTAGGTTTAAGTACACAATACTAGTTACAACAAAATATTTAGTAATGGCCGGATCATGAACTTCTGAATACCACAAATAAATATCTCCTATTTTGACAAAGATCATAATACCATCTACCAAACGAGATAATAGTTACATGTAATTTCCTTACTATAATTTTTTTCAATTTTTTTAAATTATTGGATGAACACATTCCAACACTGTACAAGTGTGTCAATCTAAAAAAGTAACTTCCTAGATGCACTAGCTAAGATTTACAGTCTCATGAATAAATCAAGTACTATCATATTTTATGTGATCACAAAGAAAAAAGAAATAATAATGACAACTTTCTATCACAGATAACTGGTCTTTATGTGATACTGACATGCTGTGCTATGCCACTGGATAACCATTATAGTCAATATTATCGTTTATTTAACATTATGTAGTAGACAATTTCAATCAATCTTGAAGTCCCACAAATGTTTAAAACAGCTGGTGTGAATAACTATCATTCTTAAATCTTACAACAGTCTGTAAATTACAAAATGCAGATCATCATTTAAGCATAACCTTGTTCAGATATGGTTGATCAATAAGGCAACTAACATGTATCCATCAAAAACTAACGGTTAACTCAAGTCAATGATGAACAACCAAACTCAAGATGAATTATAGCCATCATCATCATCACTTTCACCAGGTTGTTCAGGGAACTGAACATGAATTCTCTGAACAAAGGTAATGAATGTCTTGCACATTGGGCAGTAAGGAAGATGGCATGAACATTTCTCACATGCACAAACATGTCCACATGGGGAAAATGCAGTGTTGATTTCAGAGTCCATGCAAATCTGGCAAGTCCAATCATCACACTCTGAGTCATTGGAGAAATAAACTCTTTGCCAGCTGGTAACAACAGTATTACACACAGGGCAGGCTGATTCAGCCTTTGCACAATCACTACAGTAAACAAGGTGCCCACATGGTGTGAAGAGAGCATTAGCTTCTTCAGAGGTACAATTGGAGCATTTTGAAACCCAGTTGTGTCTAAACACAGAGTCACTGTCTTCATGAACTTTTTCATAGTGAAGATCGTATGCCTGACGCCTTGTATGTTTCACATCCAAGTGAAAAAGCTCACCTGGTGGCATCTTGGTGAACCACTTGGCTGGCAGAGCCCAACAAGGAGTGGAAAGCAAATAATGGTTGAGAACTGACTGTCGAACTTTACTAGAGTAGAAGAATAGTTGGTGCTCCATGGCAGCCTTATGCATTGCTTTTGCAGCATCGCTGCTGGATAAGAAGAAGTGGATGAAGTTCAACTTGCTGTTTTCAGACACTTTCTTCAACACAACAATCAGTCGCTCTTCAGACACATTCATCTTCATTATGCTTTCAAAACCAATGCTGCAATTAAGTTCAAAGATCTAAAGTCAACACAAACTACAAAATTGGATAAATACTGTTGCATTACCCTTCATTCACCATTCAAAAGTGGAGTTAGCAAATAACAGTTACATGTACTCGTTCATAAGCAGGTTCCTGATTGGGTTACTCGATTCCATTTGTTGAATGCATTTAAAAAAACCCTAGACTTAGGGGCAAGAACTACTGAGAAACTATAGAAAAGCAGGACAAGCCAAGTGCATTGGATAGAGAAATGCTACTCAGGGGAGCCACTGAACATTTTGGAAACCACTTGATTCAATCTATCAAAACTCTGCTGATGATCAATACAGGATCCACACAGTGAGGAAAAAGGGGAGGCCCTGATACTTGTAATTGTAGAAAGCAATTTTTCTTCATTTCCCAACCAAAGGTAAAGTTTCTTAGTGCCTCAGCTCTCTTTATGATTAATAACAACCACCCTCCCTCCCCCCCAATAAGTGGCACTGATCATCTGATTGTGTCTAAAACATATTCACAGAGCTGTCAATAATAGCAGTTAGCCCATCAAGGTTGCCCCCTGGTCTGTCGTATTTAGTGGCTACTCTCACTTCCTTTGTCAACATAATTACTCATGAAAAATTGCACAATTATTGAAATACAGTTAAAGAAATTTGTACAGCAGCTGTTTGTCAATTTTAAGAGAGGTCACTAGATAATTTTCCAGTAACTGCATTGGACGTGTGAATCAAACCCATGTTGAGAATTTGCCTAAAGGTTCATGCCAACTGTATGGCATGTATGCAGGGACACTGAAACTGAATAGTTCCTAATCTTACTTGTATTCTGAGGAAGCAACACGGGGCCCACAATAACCTAATAACCTTCTACTTTTAATTTGCCTTCTATTTTCAAACTTACTGACAGCCCTGGGTATTGGCGAGTTTTTAAAAGGATGCATATTTTCTGATGATCAAAAGGTAGCATTACATCTCCTCTCCCTTTGCCAATGAGCTCAAAATTTAGATTTTTTTAATTACCACATATTCACCCTGGCTACCAAATAAAAGCATACACACAGGCTTACTAACCCTACAAAAACAATGAAGCTAACAAAAAAAGATGTTTTAAAAGAAAAGATTTTGTCATACCATGATTGGTAATTATAAGATACCCTCCCAAAAGTCTTCCTGAAATCTACACCCCTCAAGATTACCATCAGAAAGTAGATAACGCTTCAAACAAAAGGTAAGATGAGCATCAAATCCGATGACAAAAGATAATTATACGTGATTTTGACAAAACAAACCTATCACACAAGCGCAAAAATTTGTTTGAGTTCAAAAAACAAAGGTCCCTGCAACCTCACTGTCATTCCTATCTAAACAAATTTTTTTGATAAAAGATTGGAAAATGTGTTTTTACATTTCATTTTCGGTTTCTAATCCATTGCTTTTGTTAAAAGCTTAAGATGTTGGTAAATAAGTAGCCAGAGACGATTGGCCGTGCGGGACCAAATACGACATTAAAACAATTAAAAGTTGACCCAATGTAACAAAAGCTGAAAGTTATTGATAAAAAACATTTCAATCAGCCCCTTACCTTTGCTTGAGCTTTCCATGGGTTCTTCTCTCGTACACTTTCAATCCACTGCTTCCAACTGCCACCATGACTTTTTGCTTGCCTGTTTTGGCCTTGAAATTTTCTGCATCGTAAAGCTCTTCCTTGGACATAACATTGAGAAATGAATCTCTTGCAACTGACGAAGGCATCCCTTGTAGCTTTTGATGTGCCTCAGCTATTTTTGCGTCCATGTCTTCTCGGCCCCAAGGTGAAAGAAACTGTGGGTAGATTCTAGGCATGTTTGAGTAATCTCCATACTCAACCTGGGCCATGAGAGCACAAAGCTGAACAGCGTTATCTTGTGTCAAATTGAATTTCCCGTCGGCCATTTGCTTCTTGAGACAGAGGTAAAACTGTTGTCTAAAAGCCACAAAATTGTATTCTCAGTTGAAAAATTTGTCACTAGATCATTCATCAAAGTGAAAAAACGACAGGATCAAATAAATTTTGAAATAATGGTCGTCCGTGCAATGCAGTGACAAGCTGTCGCGACCTCTCTGTATAAACCCAGCATATTAAGTTTCAAAACGAACAAAACGTGCAGTAATTCAAACGTGCACAAAACGAAAGCTAAATTAGCTCACCTCGTTTCCTCCTGTTGAAGTTCTTGTGGTGCTACGTAAAATTTAACCTCAAGGCGGAGTCGATGAGGTTTTCCAGGTAAATGAGGGCGAAGTTGAGTTGACACTGGATTTCTCAGATTTAACCAGACTCCGATATCATTCACAGTGTGTCGAAGACCAAAATAATTTTTCTCCTTTATTCCTAACTGCTCACAGACCTGAGAAATACAGTAACAAGAGTCATTGAATGATAAAATTATCTCATCTTTCAGGAGAAAATTTGATGTTAAACTACATTGGCAAGTTCAGCGTTTCTCGTGCTTCTTACCTTGTCTAATGCTTCTTGTCCCAGTTTGTCGCCTGTCAGAACGAAATCGTGTGCCTTTCCGTCGGGCTCTAGGATTGTAAACTTCATATTTCCGTTAGAAAACAGACGAAATCCCACCGGTGTGAAAAAAGAGACGAATGAACGACAACGAGTACATTTTCCAAATGCAGTTAGGCCGGTATTTCCAGCTCGCCTGCAAAATTTTTTTTCCTTGTACACAACAAAAACATGTTTCACAGCGGTTTCGGCTGGCTCAGCCAATCAGAGCGTATAAAATCAGAAGGCAGGTTACCAAGCAGCAAAACTTGCTAGACCGGATACCGTCCTGGACGTGACCTGACGTTTAACCGGAAATCAGATTAGTTAGCTTATGTAACACAACCTCTGATGTTTTTACAGGACGGAACGGTGGAAGAAAACTATATCTACCACGCTGAATCAAATCAGTTAAGTTTTCTATAATTTTAAGTACTCGAAGAAAAGCATTTAAGTTCCAAAGATTTCATTTTAAAGTAGCAGTGGGTTTAAAATTAACAAGAAAATGTAACAGCCATTTTTCACGATCATATCAGGTCAAGTAGAAATAGATACAGTAATCAAAAACCCTACTAAAAGCGGTCCTTAAAAAAATTGCTTATTTTGGAATGAATGAGGAATATTGGTTAAAACAGAAATTAATCTTATTTTTTTTCCACGTGCACCGGAAATCGTTTGGCTTCACGCAAATGTGGCCTGACTACGCAAATTTGCATTTCAAATGCCTTGGCAATCAGAAGAAACCCAGATGTAGGGGAATAAATAGGGCTCATAAATTTCTCGGTAAAATCCTGATTTCCTGTTAGGAAAGCGCAATGAGACGAAAGGTTTTCTGTTTAACCAAGAACACGAAATTTGGCTTGGAGCTGTGCTTTTTGAGTCAATCATTTACCGCCTAATACAGGTTCGACTGTAATTTGAAAGTTCATACTCAATTTGACCTTCGAAAGATAAATTTTGTAATTCCTACAACGGCACGCATTGGATACGTTATATCAAGGGAACCATCCTCTCCTGATTGTACTAAAACTGTAATCTTGCCATTTTAGAGATCCCTTTAGCCCTTATACACTCCTACACAATGAAATTAGCTGACACATAAGAAGGAAAATCTCATTCAAATACATACCTTAAGTTTAATTTGAGCTTTCACAGTGTGATCCTTGCCTCGTTTACATATACTTACAATATTAATAGTAATGTACAAAGCTCACTTTGCATGCTGCCAGGCATTTAATTATCCTAATCATCCCTATTATTCATTGCGACTGACTAAAACATGGTCAGACCACGCTGGCCAGATCAGCTTTTTCACTAAGATATTTTCGCTGATTTAACAAAAATGTGTGGTCCATGATCTCTTATTTCTTATTATTCCGAGATTGTATTCAGAGTCCTATCAGATTAAGTGTCAAAAACGAAACTAACAAAAGGAGTTCAATTCGGTCTACTCATGCCCAAAAAGTCAATTTGCAGTTGCGACCAATGATTAGCGGTTTTGTTTTAAATGATTTACTGGTAATAACTGCTACCAAAGGTTACACCAGTCCATATATTTTACGTATGATACATTATTGTTTTATCATATTGTCATAAATCACCATTCAACTTGCTTTATTTAGAGGCAGAATTACTGCGTCTTTATTCGGTCTGGGACAAGAAAAAAGAAAAAATTGTAGGAAAAAAAATTTCTTTCCTTTATTTCTATAGTGTGGAACCCCAATAGAGCATTGGTTTGTCATTTATATCCTTGCTGATAGCCAGTCCAGATGAAAAGGAAAATATCTTTATGAGATTACGTTGTAGGTACTGAGGCCCACGAAAGAGAGAAGCAATCCTGGGATAAGGGAACATAAGTTGTCTCTTGTCTGGGATCAAGATCTCTTCCTCTCCTTATATGCCTCACACGGGGGGAGCTAGGACGTTATCTCTTTATCTTTTTCTGCTTGCTCCAAGTGGAGAGTGGTGCCGTGGTCCGTTTCTGGAGATATTTCGTTACCTCGGTGGCATCCAAGAAGTCTTTTGAACTCTTTTCTGTAATCTTTGTTAGTAAGGCAGTATATCATGGGATTCATGCAGGAATTAAAAAACACCAGAACATTGAACATCTTATGCAAAGGGCTTTTAACTTCTGTAATACCAAAAGAGCTTAGAATGTAATTGGTCTGCGAAGGAAAGCCGCACACTGTCAAGGCTGCTGCAGTTACAGCGCACATGCGCAGTAACAATCTCTGTCGCCTTCGTTTGTTGACACTCTCGGCACTTTCCCCAGGAGATGATGGAAGATTACGCATGATATGGGCAAATGTGAGCCATGTTACCAAACAGGGAAAATAAAATGCCACAAAACTGTAAGCGATGACAAACACTCGAGTACCGTCAATACCGTATGGAGCTTTATCAGTGACACACTTGCTACCATGTAAGCTCGTTTCGAACAACTTATTCATGGACAGAATACACGTGATCATAAACGTGATGGCAACATACAGAATGGTACGCCTTCTTTTAAAATGATGCCTGTATTTGAATGGTCTTAACACGCAGTACCATCGTTCAATGGCGAGACAGGCCACGAGAAGGATGGAAACTTTTCCCAATGCAAACAGGATATATCTGTTGGCGAGCAAACGGCAAAAAATCTCACCGCGTAATCCAAGAGGGACTGGGTATTCAGACGTGGGAATGGCATATCCGGGAGTAGCTAAGAGAAAGACTCCTGAAGGAGAAAAACAGCGCATTATCTTCTAGTCAAAATATATTTAAGTACTTTGATTGTGGGCTTACAGCCGTAAATCCAAAACTAAAGTGATAACAAAGAGTAATTTAAAAAAAACTGAGGTAAATGTTGCAATGGAGATTGTTTAGAGAACCATAACCACAAAACACAAGAGAATTGCCATAAACTCACCAGTTAGCATATCAGTAATGGCCAAACTAAACAGTAGAATATTATGAGGCCTTTTTAGCATGGAAGGTTTCCTCGCAATTACAATGGCAAACAATAAGTTTAATGCAAAGGAAACAACAGCGATCACCCAAAATGTTATGCAGAGGGCGTGATCCATGCTTGTTAGATACTGCGACGTGGAGTTTTCCATATTCTGTCAGCTAAGAGAGAAAAAAGGTAGTGAACAAACGATATGTATTTTTAAATCACTGAACATGACACTGTTTGTGACGTTCATCATGACTTCTACACTCTTCTCAAGTGGTGAGACAAGGTCCGTTTGGAGCGCTTCTCGATTGAACGTTCCAAAGGAACCTTCGAAATTAAAATCATCCCTGATTGTACACGGCTGATAATATTCCGCAGTTGCTTTAGGCTTGTCTCCTTGAACTTGAGGTAAAAGAAGAAAAAGTTGAAAATATATAATCTGTTATGGTAGGGAAAAATGAGAATATCCTAATTAACTAAAAGCTAAATTTAACAAAAACGATTCTAAATTTGAATTCATATGTCAATTGTAAAGAAAATATGTCTTTTCCAGATTCACTTTCATTGATTTTATTCAAATTTCTCGACTGTAGGTTGAAGAGGTTATAATCCTTTCTCCAAACAAATCATACATCAGTTTATTGAAATGGAATATATATATGTTATTTGCCGGCTGGGAGGTCCGTATGGTGAAAAACTGTGACCAAGGTCTTGAAAATACTGCCCGAGGCCGTAGGCCGAGGGCAGCATTTTTAAGACCGAGGTCACAGTTTTTCACCATATGGACCGACCCTTAGCCGGTAAATAACATATTTATTGTTTTTAAACTTGACGAAATTCTTTCCGAAAGAACCCGAATGATTTAGGGCTGTAAATACGGCAAGATCTTCCATAAACTGAACAATTTTTGAGTGAGTAAATTGTAGTTAAAATAGAGGTGATGCAAATTAAAGAGAGATGCCTCAGCGAAACATTTTCATTTCCGTAACGATAAAGGTGATTTAAAAGGCTTTCAAACAAACTTTGAAACATTATTTTTACAAGTATCTGTCACAATCTGACACCTGTCAATTCGAGAGCGCGCAAGAAAAAAAAATCGTAAGAACATTTGAAAAACATCAGAACTAGTTTGGCAAGGTCTGTCACGACAAAGTTTTCTTCAAAATCAGTCAATGATCTAATGGAAAGTATTATTCACTCTCATCGACCATTCATTCATGTACGAAGATTTACCTCTGTTCATTAAGTAAACGGCGAGGAAAGTAATTGTGAGTAAATTCAATTTTTTTACTTTGAAGTTGTGAGTTTTACTTAGAAGTGAGAGTTTGCTCGTTTGTTTGCTGCAATGGCGTGTGTGACTCTGGTCTTTCCTTCACAAAAACTAAATTCCAACGGCACACTCCAACGAGACACAAGGGAATTTAATGCGGCCTTTTCTCAAAAAATTCTTTCAATTTCTGTTGTGCAATTTACGGTACAAATGTCTAAATTGAACGGAATTGAAAAGACTCACCGGGAGCGTATATTTGTTGTAGAACTTAAATTAAAACTTCGCTCGCTCTTTCACTACGAACAAATTTCTCGAGAAAATTCAGATATTAAATGAATGAAAGTTTCATCGTTCAGTTTAACTGTAACCAAATACTTCACGTTTCAACTTTCTGGGTACTTTTTTGTGAACGATTAAAATTAATTGCAGACGGTTTTTAGGCCGCTTGTTAACCAACGTAATGACACAATTGTTTATTCAAATTCATTCTGAAACCAATATTTTTCTGTCAACCAAAGTGATTTGATAGAGAGAAAAGAGAGGATTCATAAGTTAATTATCGGCTTGAGGTAGTGACCGATGTGTTTGCTTAAAAATACTGCCCAGGGGGCAAAACGAGGTATATTTATGAAAAAATGACAACGAAATTTGGGATGTACTCGGCGACTCAAGAAAGCGTTACTGTGGCCCGTGGGCAGAGATAGGAAAATACTGACCGGGTAAAGAACCAATCAGATTGCAGGATTCGTTACCGTGCCCTCTAGAAAAACAATAAACAATTTTACTATCTGCGTGCTTATTACGCGCAAACCTGAAGCCACATAGTAGAGTGCCGTTAATTATAAACTTCAATTACATCCCCAACATGATCACTTTTTTGAGCCAAAAGGGGATGTGACCAGCGTAAAAACTATTCTTTTTCAAGTGTTTATTAATCATACTAGATTTGAGCGGTTAACTTGCTGTTTTATCGAGAGAAAGCGGACAAGGCTAGATTTCTAATAGCACCTCTGGTCACAAAAATGATAAGAATTTCAGAAACAGATTGGAGAAATAATTATCCGCTATGGAAATTTTGTGGCTAAGGTAACTTTCTTTTACTGTATTTTGCAGCCTTTGACTGATAGGTGTGAAACACCAGTCGTGCGAATGCAATAACACATTTCAGCTGTGACAACAGAACGTGTCATATGTTGTTGGAATATTTGACATTCAATAACTGAAAGCACGAAAGCAAGAAAGTGTAAATTTTTGACAACCAAAATTATTCTAATTCCTTCAAGACAGCGTACCTCAGTTTTTGGGTATGATGTAGAAAATAACTGCTAATTATGAAAAATAATACGTTTCGACTTATGAGAGAGAAATTAGAAATATAATGTACAGACAAAAATATCGATGATAAGAATGCTAGAAAGAATTCGAGAGCAAGTTCATAGGAAATCTAATAGATGAAAATATGTATCAAAAGTGTAATTAAGCCTTCGTGACATTAGTAGAACATTAATTTAAATATTGTTATAGTTTTAGGATCTCCAATATTATTGTAGCGTTTTAAATATTCCCTTTATTACCTAGGTATCAAAATAAGAAAAAAAAACTGTCGACACCGTATTAAAGGTGGAAGGTCCGTCAGTAAAATAAAATTTCAAAGAGCGATTATGGTTTATGATCTAGTTTTTCCATTGTTGTACACTAACATTTGTTTAAAAAAAAGGGGAAAAATACGAAATGACCAAAATTCAACTTACATCGGTAGTAGAGACCGAACCGAAACTCAGACGATTGCGCGAAAAGGTTATGACTAGAAATATTCTTGTTAATAGGGTTTGTCGGGAGATCATTCAATCTATGGTACTAAATGGCCAGTCCAATTCGAACTCTGTTGTACGCCTAAACTGTAGAGGCTCACAACCTCAAATTATTTCTCGTGTTAAAATCTAATCTGATGAAAAAAATGCACAAAAAAAAAAAGCACCGAACAAACAAGCGAACTAAACACTGCTAAAAAAACTTTAAATTGTAAACTTATGGTCACTCCCTGTTGTTGCTGCCGTAATTAACTTTCTCTTCCTTGGCCAACACTGCTAATGTTTCCTTATTTTAAACTTAGTTCGTTATCCTATGTATAAACGCCATAATTCTTTCTGTTAAATAGATGTATGCACAAAGAGTTTTCATCTGTGATTCAGAATAATACCGCTGAGGAAATTAAAAACACTTCACGTGCATCTAGACGATTGACAGGCAAAATGCTAATTGTCAGAAAAGAAAAAACAGTAGGTAGCTAAAGGAAATTTAGTCGCGACATCCGTCTAGATCTTGGATCAGGATCAAAACGTATTGAAAAGCCATCTATCATTAATTACAGGAATATCATAACAGAAATTAAACTCATTAGTTTAAGAATTCGGCAAAACACGACAGCCCTCTAAACGAAATGACAAATTATTTAAACCCATTGTAACCACTTCTAAGATGTGAATCAGAGTATACATCAATATTAAGTTTGTTAGCTCACCTTTGAGATATCTCGCCGAACGTTTTCAAGGTTGTTCAACTGAAATACGTGTCAAACTTTGCTTCAACCATAACCAATCTCGTTTTTTCTTATACAGTTTTTCCGATTTTGTTGTCTCTTTATCTTACCTAGCGAATAGTCTATACGCGTTTTTCCTCGTTGTGACGCGATAATTGCCAGGTGCTCGCCTACATGAAAACTAAACTGTTGCAAATCGATCATCAATATACTCCTGTTTTGCGTGACTTTTTTTGACAGTGATTAGAGACATCCAGTTACATCAGATCGAAACAGAACCGTATAAATCAGAGAGATTGCCCTAGTTAACATTCACTTTACCTATTTTCTTGGACTTAACGTAACCCTCGAGACGACAAGTCCTGTTCCAAAATCAAAAGGTAAACAAAAGTTTACAATCACGCATATCTCCCATGTGATATTAATTAAAAGTAATCAATGGTGTAATGCGTCTGTGATCAAGGATTTGAGGGGAAGCTGGTTGATTGGTAGAAATCCTCTGCATTATCTAAGGTTAGTTGCATCTTCATTTTCGCGATTTTTCATAATACCACAGACATTACCCGGTTATCATGAAATTTTTTTCCGTAAAACTGTACATAAACTCTCTTGCTGCTAATAGTGGCCAGTCTGAAACTTCAGCAAGAAAAACTGCAAATATTACCTATAAAAACTGCAGGAAAACGAAAAGTTTCACGCAAAAGTACTTCTGGAGAGAATCCAGTGGGAACATTAATGACAGTGTATATCTATATTTTCCATGTTTAGTTCCATTTATGTTTGGCTCTGAGTGAGACAATGATCGGAAAGAGTGGACAATTGCATGGAGTGCTTCGTTGTGAATGACATCTTCAACTTCTAAACGAAAAGAGAAATAATTAAGAAATTGGTGAACTTTGAATGGGTGGGCCACTTTTGCAGAATTCAGCGATTTTGAGCCTTCGAGATATTTCACGGTAGGGTTTCGCAATCAAAAAATTTAATGCGATTATGTCATTCTTTCCAGCGCTTGTCAAACTTTAGCATGATACAATCCAATGCAATGCCACGTAAAATTCTCTCGAATGATCTCCATTTTAATGGTCACAATTGGAGGTGAATTCAATAAGCAACACTACAATCAGCCCAGCATGACTGACTGCATCACACATACAATTTGGTCAAAATAAATTTTGATATTTATGTGAAATGAAAGTTTAATTTGTCCCGTGAAACAAAACCACTAGCGATGACAAAAAACAAAATACCTAAATCTTAAAGTATACTCTTCGCTTTCGAATCAATTTTCTATCGGTCGTAGTAAGAGAATGTCGTATGTCGTTTGTCGTTGAGCATTGGATGAAGAAGAAAAGTT